GAAAGGACATAGCATATAAAAATGATGAAAATATGCACACTATATATATATATATATATATATATATATATATATATATATATATATATAATATATTATATTTATTAATTTACATACAAATATTTAAGTAAATGCTCTGTCTATAATAAACAGTATTAACAACATTCACTGGCCTGAATGTCTGAGAAATTTCATAGAAAATATGTGTCCTCCAACAGGAATCAAACATGTATCCTACATGGAACCATCATATAGCCTGATGTGCTATATCATTTAGCTACAAAGGAAGTGTCTGGGTTAGCAAGGACAAATTACTGTTTTTTTAAACTAAAATTTCCCATGATTTCTCTTGAATGCTCGTATCTGCTTGAAGTGTATCTTAACGTAAACAATTGATATCATATTTGAGTTTATTATAAACAGAGTATTTACTTAAATATTTGTATCTATGAAAATGTATAAACAGAAAATAATTGCCAGGCTTGGTCCATTTCATAATATTATATATTATTTGTTTACATTAAGATATGCTTCAAGCAGATGTGATCTTGCTAACCAGACGCTTCCTCTGTAGCTAAATGATATAGCACATCAGGCTATATGATGGCTCCATGTAGGATACAGGTTCAATTCCTGTCAGAGGACACATAATTTCTATAAAATTTCTTGTACATTCAGGCCGGTAAATGTTATTAATACTGTTTATTATAAACAGAACATTTACATATTTGTATCTATAAATATAAGATATAAACAGAAAATATATTAAAATAATTGAACTTAGTTCATTTCATAATATATGATGTCATATATATATCATATGATGTACCATTCTGTTGTGAATTTTTTCTTCTGTTGACCTTTCTTTTTGTTATTATGGCTTCCTGGTTATTCATGACTTACATGAGTCTATTTAACAGTGGACATTCTTGGCAATTGCTTGCTTTAAGAACATAAAAATATCTTCAACCAGCTCCATTTTCAGATTAGTCATTACATTATTTCTTGTATATATAGTTACAGTAAATATAGCTGTCATTTACTATAGGAATGTATTGCAAATGATTTTTACTATAGGAATGCATTGGGAATGATTTTTACTATAGGAATGTTAATATCAGTACACACACATACATCTATATGCAATAAAAATCATAATCTTTGATATAAAAAGTAGGGTTTATGAGACAAAACCTTTCATTGACACTAATGATTACATATAGAGTGACACAGTATTTACTAAAAGCCTATATAGGAAGGCAACAAATACCAAAATTTCAATATCCCATTTAGTTTTTGTGAACAGAGAAACTATGAATTTGAAATTAAAAATTTAATACTTACCTATCAACAAGAAAACTTATAAAAATATTAATCCCAGAGACATATCTAGACAATATGGAGAGCACATTCTGTTCCTCCTCAAAGAAAAATTTGTGATAACCCACTCTTAATATTTAAAAATTGTATACATACAGGGTGTGGTGGATAAATTGTCTTCTAAGTTATACAAAAATGAGAATAACACTGACATCTCTTTTTAACAGATATATTTACCAATATTGCACAAAAATATCTTGAAATAATAAAAAGTAAATTTATTCAATAAAATTGCCATTGGCTTCAACCATGACCTACAGATGACTTCAGAATGTCCTGCAACTCTTCTGGACAATCTTCTCATTTAAGTTGGGGGATCTTTGCTTTTGGTTCATCTTTGGTGTTACAAGGAGTTTTGTTGGTCTTTCACTCAACTGTACCCCACACATGATAATAAAGGGGGTTGAAGCCTAGGGAGTAAGGTGGCCAGATGTAAAGGGTGATATGGTCACAGAGATTGTCTGACAGCCATGACTGGGTTCTTCTGTTTGTGTGGCATGATGCAGAGTCCTGTTGCCAGACATAGGGTCTTCCAGCAGCCACCCTCTTAATCAAGAGCAGCATTATCTCCTCAAGGCACTTGATGCAGGCCTCTGTGTTTAGTGCCCTCACCAACAAATTTGAGAGTTCTTTTCTTATTAGAACAATCAGGGCGAATTTTCTGAGCTGCCATACCTTCATAATCACCATTACTCATCTAACTCTTTCTGAATCTTCTGCACTGTCCTCAGATTGACATCCAAACACTCAGAAATGAAGGGTTCAGTTTGGAAGTCTAATCACCTGAAGAAGGCCAGAGCGTATATTGGCCAAAACGTCGTGGCAATAAAGATGAGGACAACAGTCCAAACAATGTAAATAATTACAATATCTCATCTCAGAAATATAGACAAATAACATTAATGCTTGCAATTAATTACAGACTATTAACAATGTCACTTTTTTCCTATTTTTCAATGCTTTTTTTTCTCCTAAAAATCCTATGATAAACTCTTTCTGGCAACATTTAGTTTATTAAATATGACTTTTATTTTGTTATATAAAAATATTAAAAGAAAATATTTATTTTCTCTCTGATTTTTTTCCTGCTTATTGGCCCATTTCTAGACTTTTATTTCATGTCTTTTTTCTAAAATCAAAATTTATCCACATCGATTTAAAATTTTTCCCCTTTTAGAATCACTGTTCTGGGACAAAGTCCAGACTTGGAGGGCATTTGTCTACCTGTGTGTTTGTTTTCTCTGTATTGGAGCCAGTTGGGATTGTAAGATTTTAAATCATGTTGTTTTTTTTTTTTTTTTTTTTTACAATACCAAACAATACAAATATAGATAAAACAAACACAAGCAGTCTCCAAGTCTGGACTTTAAGAGGTGATAAGCTAAGGTAATTAATTTGATTTATGATACCCACTTATCCTCAGAGATCCCAAGGCATTTTTGCCACACATGGTTTTCTTTCATTTTAAAATTAGAAAGCCAAAGAAAGCATATGCTTCTCTGGTGAAATGCGTCTTTTGTTTTTTGTACTTGCCAGCCTATCAGCTTGACCTAGATTCTTGCAGAAGTCCTCTAATCAGGGTGGAAACAATTTCTTAGCTCACCTTTTATATAAGTACACCAAAATGAGCATGAATTGAAAATCTTAATTCTTCTTGGGAATTACTGAAATCAAATCAGTTTCCTTAATACTAAAATTTTCAAATCAACCAGGTACCTTTTTAATGAAATTTCTTTGTGTTAATTTTATTATATTGACTTTGAGGTGTTCTAATTTAAGATGATTATGATGATTAAGTGGTTATATACTAATTAATGTTAACTGACTAAAATTATCAGTATTAAATAACTACAGGTGTGCCTCTTGCCAAATGGGATGACAAACAAACCTATATTTGTTCACACATATTTTGGTAGGCAGTATACAAAAATGTATGTCTTAATGGAATGGCCTAGTTGTTGTAAAGTGTAAATGACCTGCTTGCTTATTATGTAGTGTTATCTTAAATAGAGTGAGTTATTGGGGTACATCCAGTGGCTTCTCGGTTGTATTATCTTTTCATCATGAGTTTTTCATAATTATAAAATATAATTTCAATGCCCAAAGTGATGCCATGTCATGTATTTTTGTCTTAAGTAGCATGAGTTAGTCATAGGGCACATGCACTGTCTTCTCAATTGTATTCTCTGTTGATCATGAGTTTTTCGCATATTTTCAGAGGCAATAAAGACAGATTTATCCATTGTTTGACATGTAGTTATTAGCTGAAATTTAACAGGAGGTAAAAGAATCCTTTACATCATGCCACATATGGTGGTGTCTAACAAACTAAACAGTTTAACAATTAGTAATTTGTTGAGACCAAATAAACTGCCAGTGATGATTACAGGTGTAAGAATTGATAACTTTGGTTCCACCCAAGGTTAAAAAGTGATAAAATTTTATCAGTACAAACAATTGAAGATATACTCTGTATGACTTTTAAAAGGGCTAAAAATCAGCCAACTTTCAAATATGGTCTAATCTCAAAAATAATATATATATATATATATATATATATAAGGTCAAGAGGAAAACTATGTAGTTTTAGCCAATGCATTTTGTCCACTGCAGACTTTATCAAGGCAAAAAATGAAGCAAATTTATTTTAACAAAGTATCTATAAACAAAAAAACAAAATGTTGGTAGTTACTAGAAGAATTTAGAAATGCTCATATATATATATATATATATATATATATATATATATATATATATATTACACACACATTAGGTCAACTGAAAAATTACATCATTTACTTTTTGTTTGAAGAGAATTTTTCATATGTAGAAATATTTTTTGTATTGTTGTGATGACAGATTCAATGTGTCGACTAAAACTACAGTTTTCCTTGTCTTTTTCCTTTATTCATATCATCTTTTTCTATAGATTAATTTTGAAAATTTTTTTACACACATATATTAATCATTTCGTTCCAAGCAAGGCAATAATGCCACAAAGATGCAAGGGGTTATTGATTGTTAAAGAGAGAGAACAATAGAAGAACAGAAATTAAGATAAACAATAATGATTGACATTGCATATAAATTTTTGAAGATTAATGACAGAGAAGCAAGAGACTGAAGGAGAGTTTTACAAACAAGAACTGCAAGAGAAGAAACTCTTAGCATAGAGTGTATGGTTATAATCTAGCCATTTCAACTGTGAATTGATGAGACCTTACCGCCAATCTAGTACTGCGCTTAAATTCATAAAGTCAAAGTACCTGAGAGGAAAGTTCATCTTTTAATCAATTATCATTTAAAATATTTATAGAAAAGACACAGGGAGATATGTTACAGCAGTGGAAGAGTGCTGTCAAGATGCTGAACCAGGACTAATAACATCGCAGATTCTTCTTTGGATTTTATCAAGAATCTCTAAATACCTAGCAAAAGTGCCAAACCAAATCAGATGTAATATTCAATGTATGGATAAATGTCTAAGATAAATTCTGGTAAGAGGAATCGTCTAGCATGACACAGTGAACTAACTTTCCTAGCATGATAATAATCTCAAATAATGTCAGTGTCACGCCAGAAGTTAATCTACACTAGTATATTTTTGTTTTCATTTTCAGGCTGCCCTTAGATGAGGTATAAGCTGTGAGAGCCAGTATAATGTTACGTACAGGTCACTGGAGGTATTTAATTCAGACCGTTCGCCATGCGTGTGTTCCCTTCAGAAGGGAGTTCCACCTTGGAGCACTGGTGTTATCAAATAAGAAACTGAGCCAAGAGAAGCAGCCAATCAAAGCTGTCATATTTGACATGGGTGGAGTCATCCTACCAAATCCAAAGGGCATCTTCCAAGGTAAGTAACCTGTCATCTTTTTCTTTACAAACAAATTGGTTTGTAGCATACACATAATAAACAAAAACCACTTAATATTAAACAACAAACCTAGATGACCAGCTTCTGGATTGCTTTCTTTATGGGTTCAAAGGTAATGTTCTATAACAACATCAATAATGTTGATTGTGATGATTTGTAAACAGTTCTGATCCCACTAGGAGCAAATGGATTGAGTGACAGTCTGACTAAAATACAATGATACCTCAGCTTAAGTCGTTTTGAGTTAAATCATTTCTGAAGATAGGTTGTTTTTTCTTAAATATTATATGGAAAAATAAGACTCACTTTAGGTCATTTTACTTGAGTTTACATTGGGTGTTAAAAATATTAGAAGCATTAAAACACTAAAATAACAATAAACACACATAAAATCATATTTAAATAAATTTTTAAAAAATATGATATATATAATCTTATAAAATCATCAGAAACAAAAAAATTAGCATAATAAAGTATGCTCAGCAGATGTTCCTATTTCAAATTCCTGCTGACAGGCATCACTCAAGCCTTGTTTTCTGCTCCAGCACTGATTTTGAATTCAGGCTTGTTTACATCTGTGTTCTGCCATTGACGTTCTTTCAATTACATTTCAGTTGTGATTTAGAATACATTTTTGCCCATGGCTCCGAAGAAAAGTGCTAATGCTAAGCATAAGGCTATATTGCTAGAAGACAAGATGGAAATTTATTATTTTATTCAGAATACTGTACATACATATCATAAATACTGTAATAGGCAATGGGGAGTGATTATTTGTGGCTTATAGTGTGATCATTTCAACTTAAGTCGTTTTTCAACCTAAGTCGTGACCTCTGGAACCAATTAATGACATAGGGTGAGGTATACCTGTAGTTGTTTAGTTTAGCACATCTTCTATCTTCTTTGTAATGCTTTAGTTTTTCAGCAGCCAATGTTGTATAATTTATCACTAAAACAAATATCTTGGAATATGTATTGTCCATCCACTTCAAGTTTTTTTTCAGTATTTTCTCTTGTATTATTGTTATTTACCTGAAAATCCTTGTAATGATCACTATCTAGTTTCTTTCTGAAAAGTCTATTTTAAAAACATGAAAATTAAATATGTTTTCTATTTATTAGGAAATTACCTTGTCACAATATACAACCTATTGTCGGTGTCTGGTGAAATAATCATTTCTTTAGTGTTCCATTATTTTTCTTTATCCAATTTTATTCTAACTCTATCTCTTCTTATTTGCAAGCACTCCCAGCACCACTGGAGAATGCTGAGAGCAAATGGGTCGAGCGGCAGTTTGAGTAAAATAGTTGTTGAGTCTAAATTTCCAAAGAAATAGGAAACATTTCATTTTCAGATCTTGAAAAGTCTTTTGAGAAAGAAACCAATTAGTGATCATTCCAAGGATTTTCAAATAAATAACATACAAGAGAAAGTACTGAAAAAACTTGATGCAGATAGACAATACATACTCCAAAATAGTTGTTTGCTTTCACAAAGTGATTTTGACTGTAACCAAAATAAACTTTGATTAGTAATTATTTATTTTGTAATTTGGAAAAGTTAGAAATAAATTATTAAAGAAAATAAGTTAGTTCAGGAACAGGAATGTTTTATAACAACAACAATAATGTTGTTTATGATGATGATTATAAGCATATTTGGTCCCACTAGGGAATGCTGGGAGCAAATAGATTGAGTGTCAGTTTGAATAAAATAGTTGTTGAGTTTAGTACATCATGTTGTTTTTATGTTGCTTAAGCTTCGGCCAGTTACGTATAATTTATCTTTCCACCCTAAGCCCAGTGGAACATAAATTTTTAATTTATTTTTTCTAATTTTGTTTAATATTCTGATGTTGATGTTTCCTCCTTTTGTTATTGCGGGACACAATCTTAACAACTGTAAACATACATCTTTTCCCTGATCAGACAATGGTTATCCCATAGTGTTTTGCCATCCTCGTTTGTATTGGTATGCATCCAAAAACTGGGAAAGGCCTGTTGCACGTTCACAAAGAAATGGAAATGAGTACTCAAAAGCTGTTTCCAATATATTTAGGTTTTTTAATTCAATGATTCTCTAGCATGGTCTACCATTTGCCCAGGTTTTGAATATTGCTGCTACATATGGTCCAGTGCTCTTGCTGCATATTTAGAGATTCTTGAAAAAATCCAAAGAAGAATCAGCAATATTACTGGCAATATTACCTGGCATCTCAGTTACTTTCCTAGATTTGTGGCAAGGTTTCATCATTTTACAGTTGAAATGGCTAGATGTGACCCTAAGCCCTATGCTAAGTTTCTTTTCTTTTCCTTCTAACTTGTGGAACTCTCTTCTGGCTCCATGCTTTCCAACCAATTTTGATCTTCAAAAATTTTAATGGAATGTCAATCGTTATCTACTGTCTTTTTCATTACTTCTCTAATTATGTTCCTTGATGATGTTTCTCTTTTCTCTTATTCTTTCACACTCAGCTCAGTAACCCCCCTTTTATCTTAGTGGCTTTACTGCCTTTTAAAAAAAAAGTTCTAGTCACAGGCTTATAAAAAACAGTCCCAGTTGAGATTGAGTTCAGTTCTACACTGCTCTTTAATGGGGTCATACTTTCCCTCAGGGTAGTTCTGATACCACCCATTATAGTTGTGAGCTGCACATTATGATGTTGAGATGAACAGTGTGTTAGGAGGAAGAGTTGAAAGGAACAGCTGATCTGTTAGTCTGAGATATCAGAAATGGCAGAAGTTGTACTGTGTTATCTACCAACCCAACCCAGACTAGGGAATCATTGAATTAAAAAACCTAAATATATTGGAAACAGCTTTTGAGTACTCATTTCTCCCTTTCATTTCTTATACAAACGAGAATGGCAACACACTGTGGGATAGTCATTGTCTGATCAGGGACTAGATATGTAAGATATGTTCAGGGTAGAAAAATTGTCTAGCACAACAGAATGAGCCAACTTTCTTAGCAGCAGACCTAGCAATGGATTCAATATAATCTTTCCACTTCATGTCAGTTGAGAATCTTAGCCTAGAAGGTGTTACTCTCATGGAGGTTAGTATCAGCCATGCTGTTGGGAGGCAAGAAGGGGACTTTCAGGTGATTAAGAGAGAGGTGTTTCATTTTGGAGGCATTAAAATTAAGCTATTCCTTTGCCATGTTTTAGATCAGCTACCAATTTGACCTTATTGAACTAACCGGACTTACTATCAAGACAGGAGTAAATAGTTGTGTCATCAGCATAGAAATCATGTTGAGAACTGATGTCATCAGGAAGCCTCAATAAGGTCAAATTAGCAGCTGATCTCAGAAATGACCTATTGGTTCCGACCTGGTATCTCAGCTTCATTCACTTTCCCACAGCTCTAACATAGCTTCGCTGTGCCTTTTCTATAAATATTTTTATGGTAATTGTTCTGATGAACTTTCCTCCATGGTATCTAGCTTTTATGAATTTAAGCACAGTATTCAAGGCAACACATGTATGGTTCTACAGAAGGATGCTTGAGATACCATGGACTGAACATATGAGCAACAATGAGGTTTTGGAGAGGATGCAAATAAGGAGGAAGCTTATACTTAACATCAGGAAGAGGCAGCTGAAATTTCTGGGTCACGTAATGAGAAAGGAGGGCTTGGAGAATCTGATACTCACAGGGTAGATAGAGAAAAAAAAAGACCAGGGAAAGCAATGCGTGACATATTTGGCAGCCTTGGGCAAGTGGATGGCAGAACAGTGTCTGGGAGAAGTAGCAAAACATTGAGAACTACAAGGGATAAGGGGGGAAGTGGGGAGCCATGATTGCCTACATCCTGAAGGAACACAGCTCATAAAAGAAGATTAGATTCATGGCAGGGTTTCATCATTTTACTGTAGAAATGGCTTGGTATAACCATAAGTTCTATGCTAACAATTTTTTCTCTTGCACTTCTCACTTGTGGAACTCTCTTCCATCTTACTTCTCTGCCAACTCTGATCTTCAAAAATTTAAATGCAATTTTAATGTCAATCATTATTCAGTCTTCTGAATTGTTCTTTTATTCTCTTCTCTCCTTAATAGTATATATTTCTCATATTCTCTAAAACTGAGTAACCCCTTGAATCTTAAATGCTTTATTGCCTTGCTTGGGCTCAAATGATTAAAAAAAAAATTATAATGGTCAATATGTATTAGTGGAGTAATTTTGAAATCTTCTATGGCAAAGTTACAGGGTGTGGCATAAATACTATTACAAAAGAAAAAGCTTATAACTTCTGAAAAAATATCTGCATATTAATAAGTATTAATCTACTAATATAAGACCTGAAAATTTCATTCAATATGGTTCCACAGTGGAGTAATGGATAGCAGTTCAGATTGAGGAATCGAAGAGCTGAGTTCAAATTTTAGTTGAATCCATTATTTTCACTTATGTGCTAATACCCTTGTGAAAGGTATGAATCCTCTTCCTCTCCCCCCCAGCTATGGGTAAATAGCAAGATAGAATGGGTTCTGTAGCCTTGGATGGCAGCTGGTCTACTTCATAGTTAAATGGCAACCTACTGCTGGAAAAAATCTGCCTCATCAGTCATGTATCGAAAGATACATGATCGCCTAAGCATGTATCACACATGGCACATAACTGATGATGGTGGTCACCTTTAGCCTTCACTACACATCAAAGTCTTTCAGGAAAGTCACTGATGGTGACACACACAGTTCCCATGGTTATTTTGTCCCATACTCTCTTCAATTTTACCTTCAGAGCTTTAATATTGTGGTTTGGAGTAGAACAGGCTTCACTCTCAAGAACTGTTCACAAACAATAGTCAAGAGCATTGATATCTGGTGATAAGGGAGGCCATTTATCCTTGATGGTGAAGCCAGGACAATTGTCTCTGCAACACTGTTGTGTTACATGTGCAGTATGGCTCATTGATCAGTCTTGCTGAATTGTTCAGTGTTCATCATCATAAGTGGCATTGAACCACTGTTTGAATGCACTTTCCAAGATGTCCCCTATGTACATTTCCTTGTTGATCTTTACCTATTGAGACACAAAAACAAGAGGAGACATTCCTCTTTATGAAATGGCTGCCCAAATCATAACTGATGCAGGTTTCTGGGTTCTGAGGCATTTTTCTGAAGCAGTAGGAACTGACAGACAACTTGTTGAAAGGACATGATCATTTTGATGAATAAAAGTCTGTTCAACATTGAACAGTTTCTCATCACTGAAAATGTTTCCTGTTCTTTTATTGTCTCCTCTCTCCTTAATTCCCGTTCTTTTATTGTCTCCTCTCTCCTTAATTCCCGTTCTTTTATTGTCTCCTCTCTCCTTAATTCCCGTTCTTTTATTGTCTCCTCTCTCCTTAATTCCCGTTCTTTTATTGTCCTCTCTCCTTAATAGTTATTAAAAGCTCATTAACTTTTTGTGTCTTCTTAGTGATGTTATCACCTTGCTGGGAGTGAAATGATTAAATAAATCTATATATTGTATTATTAATCTAAAATAGATTTTCTGTGATCAATTCAATCATTCTTGTAGAGAGTTCCAATGAGTGACTGAAAAATTACAAAACTCTGAATTGACCTTAGATAAGTACTGAATTTTTTTACTTCATATTTAATAATAATTATTGCTGTAGTCTAATATTGAGTACATTATTAGCAGAAATTGTTACATTCGTTATTTAAGTTATATAATTTTACATATATTTATAGTACTAGAATTTTTGCAACATGCTGATGTATGTTGAAATCCTCACAATATTGTTGAAGTTGTCACTAACATTTTTTTTTTAAAAACTCTGCATTCCATTCAATTTTGCAAACCAATCAATGAAATTTGAAAAAACTAATTTATTTGGAAAAATACTTTGACAAAAACCCTTTGTGGTTTAATAATCTCTTTAATTTAATTTTATAGGACTTCATGGTAAACAATATTTTTTAAGAAAATTTCTTTTCTAACAGTGAAGTACAAATTCTTAGGATTTCTTACTGTTGAGCATGCAACACACAACTGGTGATGCATAAATATTTCTTTCTGAAGCCAAACTCCAACTTTTTTAAACATTTGGCCTTGTGATTTTTTTGTAGTTCTCACAAATGCAGGGTGAACTGGAAACTGGATTCTTGTAGATATAAAATCTTAAAGAAAAGATATGAAAAAAACTATTGCATTTTTATTAAATAAGTATTTATTATTTTAATCATTAAATTGTTTTTAAAATAGTGGGAGTATTTTGTATGTTAAATAATAAAACTTTTAATTTTTTCCAAAAAATTAATAAAAATTCAATGTACTAAGCTACATACACTAGTAAAACCAACTGTACTTTGTACCCACTTAGCTGTTCGCACTTTGGTTTTGATCGGTCAATGTATGACTACTTTAAAAGTTGTCACAGACAGACTAAGAGAAATCACAGAATTTTATATATAGATAAATAGCTAGGATTTTCATTGTATTTTATTCTCTCTCATATATACAAGATGTATCAAAAATACTTTTACAAAATTTGGGAGCAGGTTCCTCATACTAAAACAAGGACAAAGTCTATATAAACATGTCCACAAATTCTTCATTTTTGAGTTATTAAGTTTAAAGAAAGTTTACAGTAAATGGTATATATTACCAATTATTAGTATTAGTTTTTTTTACATATGGCTGCAGAAATAGTAATGAGCACAAGGCTACACAGCTGTATCAGATTGCATTTCCAAACCAAAGGCATCGAAGTCATCCAATTCTTGCTGCTGTTTATCGTCATGTTGCTGAGACAGGATCCATGGCACCACAAACCATGAATCGATGAAGACCGAGATCTGCTCGTATGCCTAACTCTGAAGAACTCATTTCAAAGATAGTCAGAGACAATCCAGGTATCAGCACACATGAAGTGGCCCTAGCATGTCATACATCTCATAGTACCGCATGGAGGGTACTTCAAGAGCATCTCCTGTATCTGTATCATTTGCTATGTGTGCAGGGTCTTACACCCTCTGATCACTCACCATGGGAGAACTTTTGCTGATTTTTATTACACAAACTGCCAATCTGTTGTTTGTCTTGTTTACAGATGAGGCATCATTTGGAAGAGATAGAATAACAAAGATACACAACAAATATTTGCGGACAGATTGGAATTCCTATCTACAGGCTAGACACCAGCATTAATTTACAATTAATGTACAGGCTGGAATTGTAGGTGACTGTCTGGTAGGTCCATATGTTCTCCCAGCATGTCTTACAGGAACTGTCTACAGGGACTTTATTTTGAACACACTTCCAGACCTGCTAGTGGATGTACCCCTGCTAATACGTGGTTCGTGGATGATGGGGCTTCCAGCACATTTTAACCACATTGTTTGCGATGCACTGACTGACATCTACCATGAAAGATAGATAGGTAAGAGAGAACTGTTTCCATAGCCTGCACCTTCCCCCGACCTCAATCCTTTGGATGTTTATCTGTGGGGCTACCAAAACAATTGGTTTATACAGCAGACATTAATAATGCATCGACACTTCATTGTGTCATGGGAGGCCTGTGAAACCAATCGACACTGTGTGGAAATATTTGTAAAGATCTGCCAGCCAATGATCCAACAGGTGTATCCACGTGTAGAAGCAAGTGGAAGACATTTTGAACATTTGTTATGAGTTGCTGTTTTGAGGTACAATGATAGCCTTTTGGACATATGTTTATATGGACATTTTACCTTGTTTTGGTGTCAGGAACCTCCCAAAGTTTGATAAACCTGTGTGTATTATTGATATATATATATATATATATATATATATATATATATATATATATATATATATATATATATACTTCATATAGTTTGTAATAAAGATACCATATTTTTTAATTGATTTGGGCACATTGTACCACATCTGCCATATTGCAAAGTGACTTCATTTCAATTTCTTGTCTTATTACATATGAAGCACTCAGAATTCTTTGTTTTAATTTTTTTTTTTTTTTTTTTTTCCAGAGTTTGAGTCTCGGAATAACATTCCTGATGGCACCTTGCTGAGTGTGATTGTTGAGTATGGTCACATGGGTGCCTGGGCTAAACTGGAAATGGGACTCTATACTGCCAGTGAATTTATTGAGCATTTTAGCCAAGAATGCTCAGAAAAGGTCAGTTGGAATGTATAAATTTTAAAATTAGCTTTGTTTTTTTCTTAAGCTCAATTTCTTCATTTTTACAGATCTTTTGGTTGGAAGTTTGATTTTGTTTTTTTTTTTTTTTTTTTTTCCAATCATTTTATTGCTTAGGCAATAAAGGCACAAAATGATAAGGAGTCACTGAGTGTGAAAGAATATACAAGAAAAAGAAAACGGTATTAAGAAGAGAGAACAATGAAAGAACAGGAATTAAGAAGAAAGAACATGATGATTGACATTGCATTTAAATTTTTGAAGATCAAAGTTGTCTGGGAAGTAAGAAGCCAAAAGAGAACTGCAAAAACAAAATGTGGGTGAGAAGAAACTGTTAGCATAGTTACATAGTTACTGGTTACATATAGCCATTTCACCCCTAAAATGACAAGACCTAATTGCAAATTTAGTACAAAGCTTAAATTTGTAAAGTTAAGGTACCAAAGAGGAAAGCTCATCAAAACAATGACCATTATAATATTTATAGAAAAGGAACAGGAAATCTTACATTAGTGGGAAAATGATTGGAGCCAAGATGCCAGGTCAGGGGTAATAACATTGCAGATTCGTCTTTGGATTTTATCAAGACTCTATAAATACATAACAGAAGCACCAAATCAAATATGGCAGCTATATCCAATGCATGGTTCCAGAAAATACAAATATCATTAATAAAACAATTTAGTAAGAAAAAATCCTTATAACCTTAAGTTATATGATACTGTACGTAAATAGTCAACTACTGAAGAATACTCATTAAAGGGTGCCACTGAATTCTTAAAGTTTTCTATTTACGTTGCAGTGTTTCTTGGCTCTCTTGATATTTTGACAACCTGCTCTTACCTTTGCAATATGAATTTATGGCAAGTCCTGGTCTCTTTTAAGAGCATCTAAGAACTTCCATATTGTGGGATGATGGGATGACACTTACAGCAAATAAAACCCAATGCCATCCTTCAAGAACGTTATTAGTTCTAGGTAAATCAACATTGACTCTCTCAAGGCAAGATCACATACGTATTTCAAACATAGGTATTTTGAATAATTATCATTTAGTATGATTGTCATTATGATTAATTTTCATTCAAAGAATCTATAATTTGTATAAATGTCTTTTGAATAATTTTTTCAAACATTTTCTCAAAACAGTGATAATATGTCCATGTGTTTAAATGCTTCTTTCAGTGAAATGGAAAACTTGTCAATTTTCAACCTTTTCATTTGTACCCACTTACTACTTTAAATAATTATCGCCAATTTTGATTGTTATTGTAATATTTTATTAAAGTTGTTAAACTCAAATACTTACTGAGGCAATAGGGGATTTTCCATGAGTATTTTATAGTCATATGACTCACAAGGAGCTTATACGATCATTAACTTAAAAATTAAAATTCATCAGAAAATTAAAATAGGAAAGCCATAAAATTTTCATGAGTAGTGATAGATGTAGTAGTAGTAGTAATAATAATAACAATAATAATAATACACAAACCATTTTTTAAATTGTGATGCCATTCGTGGCAAAATTGTGACATATTTTGTGATGCCGTTCTCCAATCATTCATCACTCAATGCACCTGTGATGACCTCAAAGGTTGAGTGTATTTACATATATACCCAACTTGTTATCTGCACAGGTTTGTTTTCTCAGCTGTGCTCACTTTCAACAAAAAAAATGATGACAATTGTTTTTCAAGACTCTAGTTGGGAAGTAGTAACAATACAATTTCTCACTTAAATGTGTGATCCTTCCTTCAGCTTTGAGAATTGGGCTGCTATCTTCCTAACTTCACTGGCCTTGGTGACTCCTGATTTCTCACTACTGGTTCTTCTGTCACTGGCCAGCTCCAACTCCTCTAGTCACCTACCTACTTCTCTCATGGCTGGAACCACTTTTCTTGACTTCCTGCTTCTATCTGCTTATATAGATAATCCTGGGGTTCCACCCACTCTTCTTTCCGGAAGATTTGGATCACCCCAAAATCACATGGGTGCTCAAATTTTCAGACTACTTTTATGACTATCTAAAATTTTTATGTTTCCCAATTCAAAGGCAAATTGGAGACATGAATCCTAAAACACTGACCCCTAAATTCACTGGACTGGAGACAAAATTCCTACAAAACTCCAATAGCCGAGTTGACATAAATTCCTTCTTTTTATCTCCTAAAGATGTGTGAAAAAATCATATTGCTACAATATCTTATACATAAGCTGATATTTCTTCTATTTTTTTGTTTTTAGGTTGGACGTCCTGTGAATGTCTCTGAATTACTTCCCAGCTTTAATCGGGCCAATGTTCGTCCGTATCCTCAAATGATTGATGCCATCAAGTGTGTGCGTGCTGAAGGCCTCAAGATTGCCTTACTGACAAATAATTGGCTCAACTACCAGACACAGTCTTTTCTTCCTCTTGACCGAACCCTTTTTGATGTGGTATGTATTTTTAGTTGTTATGGTCGCAAGAAATATTGAATTGTGCCTGCCTGCCTGATGGCTGACATAATTAGGAATTTCTTTCCAATGCTGCTAGTACTTGGTGCAGTGTTCAAGCCAAGTTTAAAATGCTGGTATTTCAAGGTAAAAAGGTCCTCCCCATGTAGAAGATTGGTGCAGTACCATCTTCTTGCTTTCATTTATTCCAACTTAACTTTTTGTTATAATAACAATTCTGCTGCTGTAAACATACTTGTACATCATTAAAAGATAATATTGTCTGCTATTAATATATTTATACATTTTCTAGTTGTACATCTTTACAAAACTTTCATTGACTGGTGCTGGCACATATATATATATATATATAATGAAGAAATATAGTCTTAAGGTATGCTATATTTATGTGATAAAGTGCTCAATATCAGAGATAGAGCGTGTGTAAATATAAAAGTGAACATTGAAGTCAACACTTAGAGGTGACGATTGCATCTAGCATGAAACAGCCTGTCGACTAATGAATAATCTATTTTTTTTTACTAATAAATAATCTATTTTTAACTTTATATTTAATACAAAAATATAATAATGCTTCCTTCATGACCCACATGAATTGAAGTGTTTTGAATCAAAACAATTTTGTTCACAGAAATACGTCACAGCTCAGTGCTGCCTGACAATTTTAAGAACTATTTTTGAAAGGTAAAAGATATTTTAAAGCATAATTTTGAAGCTGGGTGTCTTGGCTGATTGAAAATTTGTGATTTCTTTCCTTTTAAATACTATGCATCTTCAATGTGTAGAAAATCATGGTTCTCCACAACTTCACTTTCTTTAATATCTATAGATTGCACATTGCCATACTTGTTCTTCGGGAAGATAGTGGAGTGGTTTATCTATTACGATCTTCCATAGTTTTGAATTCAGAATTATCCTTCTCAGAGATTGATTATCAAACAAGTCTAGAAAACTTAGTCTGTCTTCTTATTTTACTGACTGCTTGGTGTAAAATGATTAAAAAGAAAGAAGAGAGAGATTCTTGCTTACCCAAGGCAACTGGACACAAACTACTTTGGCTGGAACTTGTGCCACTGATTCCATTTTCTGTCCTGGTAACAGTTGGCCACTTGCACCTCCTATTTTGTTAATGATTGTGCATGCATTTATGTTAAAGTATATATAAAATAATATTTAAAGTGACATACATGATTTAACATTAGAAATGTATCATAATTTATGAATTAAAAGATAGATTTATTCCCTGGAATTTTACCCTTGGCCTCGAAAGGGTAGGCTCATAGTTTCAAGTGATTTCTTTTATGTGTCTTCAGAATGTGGGCAATCATGGCTCTCCATGCTTTCTATGCTTTGTAGCTCTTAGAAACATTTACCTTTTTGCTGTCTTTCCTACTTCCTGTTCTGCCTTCTATTTACACAAGCTTGTAACTCAGTGTTTTCCCTCTGTCCCTTTTGCCTGTGAGTGTCAAATTCTCTGAGCCCTCGTTCATCTATGTTTCAGTTTCTTTCTGATTCTAAGCATCAGTGTTCTTTTGGTTTGGGTTTTCCTTAAAACTTCCTTGTTGCTCACATGCTCAATCCATGGTATTCTCAGAATCTTTTGTAGAACCACATTGTCCAAAAAGGAGGTTTGACATTACATAGCAGTTCAGCACTATTTTCTTAGTTTCTAATGAAATTTTCCTGTTTTGAAAAGCCTCTTTTACTATTTTCAATGCACTTTCTGATTTCAGTATGACATTTTCTGTTATCTGTTAAAACACTTCCATGATAATTATATTTCTAGAGCTTCTCAAATTTGTAGTTTGTGTCTTGAGCTTTTCCCAGGTATCCATATATTTCTCTTTATGAGAGTGTAAACGCGATGATAGGTGAACCTATCTACTCTTATTGAAGGGAAAAAAATAAATAGTAAATAAAAATTTTTAGGTGGAGACATTAGAAGTATAGTCAAAATAGATTTTAGAAGAATATATATATATATATATATATATATATATATATATATATATATATATATATATATATATATATATAATAATTATTTTTAAAAAAATATGATTCCTTTGTTACATAAGAGTTCTCGTGTTTCAAAAACGAGAACCGAAAAGCTCAATATAATAATTAAAATTAAATTGAGTTAAAATATCAAGCCCTGTTTCATCCTCAAGCAAAAATTTAGAAATAACCAATCTTGAAATTTACGCATCTCTTTATAAGCATGTTCATTCAACTATGAAGCAGCCCTTAAAAAAAAAATAAAAGGATAAATAAATAAAACAAAATTCTCTAGACACTTAACAACATATTATGATGCCAAAAGCTATCTTTCGCTGTGACTAACCAGACGATGTGCGCACATGAATGCCATCATTTGCTTTGAAATGGATACCCCAACCCTACCTCGGCTTGACCTCTTTCTGAAGGTGACTGATATGTGGATAAAAATTAACTCTTAGGCCCCTTATCAAAATGGTCACCCCAGCTGTTTCCATAGCAATTAATTTTGTGAATGAACATGCTTATATATAATAATCATATTGAGGTTTTTGGCTCTCATTTTTGAAACATGTAACGAAAGAATCATATTTTTAAAAAAAATAATTATAATTAAAGCTCTACTTCTGTATGGAGCACTGTTTTTTAAAAATAAAAACAAAAATACTAAAGAACTCTGGATTATTTACATAATGTGTTCTTTCCTATTTTTCTACATATCTGCACATATATATATATATATATATATATATAGTCCTACCTCTTTAATCCATTATAGAGCATCATTTCTTGGGTGAAGTAAGATGGAGAGGATATATGTCAACAGGTTGGATAACTACCCATCACCAGACAGTGGCCTGTCTCACTAAGGAATTTGGGAGTAGTGAGGTGTCTTCACTCTTTTATTCATGTATCTCTACTACCTTTACACATTTTCCAACCTTGCATTAAAACTTAAGCAAAAACAATTCATCAGTGTCAGAATTGCATGCCCATGGAATTGATTCAGGCTACACCCACTCAGTTTGGGTTGTCAAAGTTCAGTACAGCAGGGTCTGCTATTTTGTGTCAACCTGCTCATAATCCCATTTGTTTTTTTTCAGTGATTTTATTTGTTTTACAGATTATTGAGTCAGCAGTTGTGAAGTGCCGAAAACCAGACCCTAAAATTTACCAAATGTGTCTTGACAGGCTGAAGCTGTCCCCTGAGCAGACAGTATTTCTTGATGATCTGGGCATCAACTTAAAAACAGCCAACAAAATGGGAATACACACCATCAAGGTAAGGAATTGCTTATAGTTCAAATTAGTTGCACTTATCTTTCCCATGATTTGTGTAAATTGATGTTGGCTCCTGAGTAAGATCCTGCAAAGAGGATGTGCAGGTGTAATGCTATGCTTGGGACACCTACATAAATTATGGTGGGGAATTTTTATCTTGATCTTAAGTAGTTCATGTTTTATGGCCAGTGATAAAATATGAGAGACATGGTCTTCAAAGCTGTCAACCACTTGACAGAAAGAGAATTAATAAATTAGGAAGGTGGGCTTGGAAAATCGGATACTCACAGGATAGATTGAAAGCAAGAGGGACAGAGGAAAACAGCATATAATATACTTGACAAGCTTAAGAGAATGAAAAGCCAAAATTTATTAAGAGATCCAAAGGACAGGCATATTGTGGAGAGCCATAATTGCCTATGTCCTGAGGGGACACATCATATAAAGGAGAGTCTATATTCACAGTCACAGTTGGGACTGAGTGGAGAACTGGATTGTCTGTTCACAGGGACAGATGATCTCTTGAATAGTTCTGATGTCACCTGTTTGAATTGCCAGCTGTGTGTCATGATGTTGTGATGGGCAGAGAGTTAGTAAGAGGAAGGGAAGAGCTGAACTGTTATTCTGACAAGGCAGAAGTTGTTCCAGACGTCATTTACCTACCCACCGAGGCAGTGCAAGTGAAACCCTAAATAAACACCTAAATATATTGGAAACAGGTTTTCAATCCTCTTTTCTCACAATGGACTTTGTGTTCATCTTTCATTTCCTTGTGAGCTTGCAATTGGCTTGTCCCAGTTTTTGGTATGCACCAATATGAATAAGTGTTGTGGTGTATTACCTACAATGAGTCGATGGTGGACTCTTCCACTAGGTATAAGCTTGATTGTAGAGAGGAACTGGGGGGAGATCAGTGCACCGTCACACTCTCTCAAGTTGAGTACTACTCTTCTGTTATAATAATACTAATCTGCGACGCTTCCTTTATAACTGTGACCAGTCATTTAGTCACAACGAATTGGCAATGAGGATTCGTACTTCACGTTGACGCTAAAATTATCCATCACCAGTGTCTACAAAAAATTGGCGATGAGGATTCAAAGAGACAAACTTCATGGGGACCTTAAAATACTGTGTTGCATTGTGTCCACATCTTAGTGACAAAGATTTTATAGAAAGTCTTTACAATAAAAATTTTCGTCGGTGCCTACAACACTGAGGAAAGGAATTTTAGGACAAAAGGATAGCCAGTGTTTATTGCAACACTGTCAGATAGGAAAAGAAAGTCTACAAGACTAGAGGATTGCCACAAGTCAATTCAGTGGTTGGTGAACCTTGTTAATCAAGCTTATTGTTTGGAAAAAAAAAAATCTTAGTTTTTCATGCCACTATTGGAAAATGGACGAATTGAAAAGGGCAATGTTGGAATTGTTAAGACACCAACAGAAATTCCAACAAGAACAAGCAAAACACCAACAAGAACAGCAAATGCTGTTGGAACAAAGGTTTCTGAAACAAGCAGAACTCCAACTGAAATTCCAACAAGAACAAGCTGAATTGTGGTTACAGAACAAACAAGAAAACAAAAAACTACAATTGGAACTGCTAGTAAGACAACAGAAACTGGAAGAAATGCTCCTTCAAACTCAGAATGAACAGAGGCATTTTTCCAACAGAAGTCAAAATGAGGACAATGAAAATGCGTTCTCGCAAAATGCCATTTAGAGTGTGATAGAAAATTTCACTTACGCACCAGATGAGGAAATCATGTTTGCATCGTATATTAAATGATACGAAGACCTGTACAATACTGATTGTGCAAATTGGGCTGACCATAAAAGATCCGCCTACTCCTCAGGAAATTAGGCACAGCAGAATATACAAAGTTTATTAACTGTATTTAGGCGAAAGACTAATGACTTGAAGTTTATAGAGGCAGTTCAACTATTAACTGAACTATTCAGTCCAACGATGTCACTGTTCCACAAGCATTGAAAATGTATGAATCTCACCTGAAAGAAGACGATGATTACACTACTTTCACAAGTGTTAATAAACACTGCGATGATTTTAAATTAGCAGTTAAGCGCCAATAATTTCAAATGCCTGATCTTCATGCAGGGTTTGATTTCAGTGAATGATGCCGAAATACATCATAGGGTGCTCAACAAGTTGGAAAATGAGCCCGACGTCACGTTACTACAAATTGCTGAAGATTGCCAAAGGTTTGTAAGCATCAGAGAAGATTCAAAAAATATTGAACAAAGTGGCTGCGATGATTTTAAATTGGCAGAGTTAAGCGCCAATAATTTCAAACGCCTGATCTTCATGCAGGGGTTGATTTCAGCGAAAGACACCAAAATACATCGTAGGGTGCTCAACAAGTTAGAAAATGAGCCTCACGTTACATTACAGCAAATTGCCAAAGATTGCCAAAGGTTTGTGAGCATCAGAGAAGATTAAAAAAATATCGAACAAAGTGGCGTCGCTCACATTAAGAAAATGCACCAAAGAAAAGTTAAAAAAGGCCAACAAAAAAATAATAGTTACATTGCCGTTTAGACCATGTTTCAAGTCTGGTCAATTGCACTGGTACAAAGATTGTCCGTTTAAAGACAAAAATATGTTTCAATTGTGAGAAAGTGGGACACAAAAGTTCTCACTGTACGATTAAAAACAAGACAGAAAAAAAGTTTTGTGAAAAGTACAAAGCCTGACAAACCAGAATGTAGGAACATTTGAAAATATATCGAAGTTCTAATATGCAACAAAAAGATACAGCTACAGCTTGATTCGGGGTCAGACTTATCCATTATTAATTACCAAACATAGAAGAAACTAGGTAAGTCGACGTTGATTAGAACAAACCAAATAGTGAAAAGAGTAACTGGTGACACTATCAAGTTTATGGGTGAACTTGTTACAAACGTGTTGTTCAAAGGAAAGATGTTAAAACTGAAGGTGTATGTTATGAAAAAGGCGGATAATCTGTTTGGGACTGACTGGCGAGAACAGTTTCAACTTTTGGTATGCCCATCAACACTTTATGCCAAAAAGTTGAAAATTGGTCTATCGAAGCAGATAAAAAGTGAACTTAAACAAAATTTTCCCGACAGTTTTAGTGAAGGTTTGGGAAAGTGTACTAAAATGTCTGCTCAGTTTGAGTTGAAGCCAGATGCAAATCCAGTGTTTAAGAAGAAACGCAATGTGCTATTTGCCTCAGTAAGTCAAATTGACGAAGAATTAAATCGTCATGAGGAAATGGGAGTTCTGGAAAAGGTAGGATACAGTGAGTGGGCATCTCCTACAGTGTATATAAGAAGAGCAAGGAAATTCGTGTATGTGCTGACTTCTCGATAGGGCTGAACAGGATCCTCATTATCTTCTTCCAAGTCCAGACAAGATATTTGCAAAGCTCAGTGGAGGAAACTTTTTCTCTAAGATCGACTTGAGCGATGCTTACTTACCAGTGGATGAGGAATGCTCGAAGGTTCTTTGTATAAACACCCAGCAGGGTTTATACAGATTTTTAAGGCTTCCATTCAGGGTAAAGGTTGCCCTCCCCCTCCATTTTTCAACAAGTTATGGATACAATGTTAAATGGTTTGGATTTTGCGATGGCCTACCTTAACGATATTTTAATGAAAAGTGAGAGCGTCGAGGAGCATAAATCTCATGTTTGGCAAGTATTTAAGATAATCCATGAGTACGGATTCAAAATTAAGGATGCAAAATGTGAGTTACTTCTTGAGAAGATCAGATATTTGGGACAAATTATTCACCAACACAGAAGACATCCAGACCCAGAGAGAGCAACAGCAATAAGGAATATGCCAGCACCTGAAAATGTGTCTACTCTGCAAAGTTTTCTCAGTTTGGCTAATTACTACAATGTCTTTGTTTGACTATCTTTGGTTCAAAAAAGGGTCTGCCAACACACACGGTGAACCGACTGCAAAGATGGGGAACCATTCTCCTTAATTATGATTATTCAATGGAGTTTCTCCCATCTAACAATATCTGTCATGCTGAGTGTTTATCAAGGTTGATTCCTAAATATATGGAACCTCTGGAAGACCCAGTCATTGCTGCGATTAGGACTGAGGTCAACATGAAGAGCACGTTGTGCAATACCATTAGGGAGCTTCCAGTTACAATTGAGGAAATAATTAAAAAAGCAGCCGAGGGTGATTTTATAAAAGAAGTGAAAGAAAAACTAATGAAGACAAGAGTATTTCAGAAGTATACTCATTATCTAATGATATTTTGCTGTACGGTGATAGTGATAATCCCATCTACTCTTCAAAAGAAAACTCTAATGTGCTTTAGCAGCAAAAGCACCCCTGGTAAAGTTTAATCCCTGGACGAAAACTGATCATCTGTGGTTGCAAATTTATCTCGATTTTGCTGGTCCACTTGATGGGTTCTATTACCTCGTAGTAGTTGACAGTCATTCTAAGTGGCCAAAAATTCTGAATTGCTAAAAGCCAACCACAGAAGTAACAATAAAGTTCTTACAAGAACTATTTGCCCAGTTTGGGGTAGTTGACTACATTGTGACGGACAATGGCACACAATTTACATTGTGTTACTTTAAGAAGTTTTGTCAATCTTTTCTGGTAGAACACATTACCATGGCACTTTATCATCCAAGAAGTAATGGACATGCAGAACGTTTTGTTGATACCTTTAAGAGATCATTGAAGAAGGCGAGAGTTACTCCCACTGATATGGCTATTTAACAGTTTCTACAAGTCTATCAGGTAACTCCTAATAATAGTGCTCCATCTGCCAAGACAACAGTGGAGGTCATGTTTGCCAGAAAAATTAAATCACCATTTGATAAGTCCCTCCCGAATGAGACAAATTGGGTAATAAAAATAAAGTGCTTAAAAAGCGCTTTAGGATTGGAGAGAAAGTTTATTTTCAAGTATTTGGGAACAACAAGTCCTACTGGGAGACTGGAACAATTTATAGGAAAGTAGGGAACATGATGTACATGGTCCATGGACCAAAATTTATTCATAAACGTCATGTGAATCGGATCAGGAAAAGGTATGATAGTATAATTGACTGGGATCCCGTTCAAGAAGACACGATGGATGTCGTTTACAACGTTTATGAACTAGCAGTGAGACACAACACTAATTGGATTTTGGGAAATTATTAACATAATATGCCGGTAATTGGATCCAATTTTCTTTTTCACTATTTTGTGAATAATGAATTGACTGGTTAACACGTAAATGCATGTTTTAAAGCTTTAAAAAAAATATAGTTTTGTTAAAAAGTGGTTATTGCTGATTTTTCTTCTATTCTTTACTTTGAAATAAAGTACTGTGTATAATAATAATAAAAAAAAAAAAGACTTCATGCAGAGTCAGGCTGAAATGGGGGGGGTGTTGTGGTGTGCTACCTACAATGAGTCGATGGTGGACTCTTCCACTAGGTATAAGACTGATTGTAGAGGGGAACTGGGGGAGATCAGTAACCGTCACACACTCTCAAGTCAAAATCATTAAATATTTAAGTAACTTTAACAAAATATTGCAATAACAATCATAAATATGAATGCTGATCATTATTTTAAGAAGTGGGTACAAATGAAAATATTTGAAAGTGCCAACTTTTTTTCCATTTCATTGAAACAGACTTTAAATCCTATCTTCTCTCCTGTCTTTCTTCTCTGTCTCTCTCTCTCCTGTCTTTCTTCTCTGTCTCTCTCTCTCCTGTCTTTCTTCTCTGTCTCTCTCTCTCCTGTCTCTTCTTCTCTGTCTCTCTCTCTCTCCTGTCTTTCTTCTCTTTCTCTCTCTGTCTTTCTTCTCTCTCTCTCTCCTGTCTTTCTTCTCTGTCTCTCTCTCTCCTGTCTTTCTTCTCTGTCTCTCTCTCTCCTGTCTTTCTTCTCTGTCTCTCTCTCTCCTGTCTTTCTTCTCTGTCTCTCTCTCTCCTGTCTTTCTTCTCTGTCTCTCTCTCTGTCTTTCTCTCTCTCCTGTCTTTCTTCTCTGTCTCTCTCTCTCCTGTCTTTTTCTTCTCTCTCTCTCCTGTCTTTCTCCTGTCTCTCTCTCTTCTTTCTTCTCTGTCTCTCTCCTGTCTTTCTTCTCTGTCTCTCTCTCTCCTGTCTTTCTTCTCTGTCTCTCTCTCTCCTGTCTTTCTTCTGTCTCTCTCTCTCCTGTCTTTCTTCTCTGTCTCTCTCTCCTGTCTTTCTTCTGTCTCTCTCTCTCCTGTCTTTCTTCTCTGTCTCTCTCTCTCCTGTCTTTCTTCTCTGTCTCTCTCTCCTGTCTTTCTTCTCTGTCTCTCTCTCTCCTGTCTTTCTTCTCTGTCTCTCTCTCTCCTGTCTTTCTTCTCTGTCTCTCTCTCTCCTGTCTTTCTTCTCTGTCTCTCTCTCTCCTGTCTTTCTTCTCTGTCTCTCTCTCTCCTGTCTTTCTCTCTCTCTCTCTCTCTCCTGTCTTTCTTCTCTGTCTCTCTCTCTCCTGTCTTTCTTCTCTGTCTCTCTCTCTCTCTCCTGTCTTTCTTCTCTGTCTCTCTCTCTCCTGTCTTTCTTCTCTGTCTCTCTCTCTCCTGTCTTTCTTTCTCTCTCTCTCTCTCCTGTCTTTCTCTCTCTCTCTCTCTCCTGTCTTTCTTCTCTCTGTCTCTCTCTCTCCTGTCTTTCTTCTCTGTCTCTCTCTCTCTGTCTTTCTTCTCTCTCTCTCTCTCTCTGTCTTTCTTCTCTGTCTCTCTCTCCTGTCTTTCTTCTCTCTCTCTCTCCTGTCTCTCTCTCTCTCTCTCTCTGTCTTTCTTCTCTGTCTCTCTCTCTCTCCTTTCTTCTCTGTCTCTCTCTCTCCTGTCTTTCTTCTCTGTCTCTCTCTCTCCTGTCTTTCTTCTCTCTCTCTCTCTCTCCTGTCTTTCTGTCTTTCTTCTCTCTCTCTCTCCTGTCTTTCTTCTCTCTCTCTCTCTCTCCTGTCTTTCTTCTCTGTCTCTCTCTCTCTCTCTTTCTTCTCTGTCTGTCTCTCTCTCCTGTCTTTCTTCTCTGTCTCTCTCTCTCCTGTCTTTCTTCTCTGTCTCTCTCTCTCTCCTGTCTTTCTTCTCTCTCTCTCTCTCCTGTCTTTCTTCTCTTCTCTGTCTCTCTTTCTTTCTCCTGTCTTTCTTCTCTGTCTTTCTTCTGTCTCTCTCTCTCTCTTTCTTTTCTGTCTCTCTCTCTCCTGTCTTTCTTCTCTGTCTCTCTCTCTCCTGTCTTTCTTCTCTGTCTCTCTCTCTCTCTCTCCTGTCTTTCTTCTCTGTCTCTCTCTCCTGTCTTTCTTCTCTGTCTCTCTCTCTCTCCTGTCTTTCTTCTCTGTCTCTCTCTCTCTCCTGTCTTTTCTTCTCTCTCTCTCTCTCTCTGTCTTTCTTCTCTGTCTCTCTCTCTCCTGTCTTTCTTTCTGTCTCTCTCTCTCCTGTCTTTCTTCTCTGTCTCTCTCTCTCCTGTCTTTCTTCTCTGTCTCTCTCTCTCTCCTGTCTTTCTTCTCTGTCTCTCTCTCTCTCCTGTCTTTCTTCTCTGTCTCTCTCTCTCTCCTGTCTTTCTTCTCTCTCTCTCTCTCCTGTCTTTCTTCTCTGTCTCTCTCTCTCTCCTGTCTTTCTTCTCTGTCTCTCTCTCTCTCCTGTCTTTCTTCTCTGTCTCTCTCTCTCTCCTGTCTTTCTTCTCTGTATCTCTCTCTCTCTCCTGTCTTTCTTCTCTGTGTCTGTCTTCTTCCCTCCCTAACAAGGTCCAAGTAGAATTATTATATGATTTTTTAAATTAATACAAAAAAAGTAAAAAAATCTACAATGTTTTTTGTTTTGTTTTTTTCAGGTAACTGATCCTGACCAAGCTGTTGGAGATCTGGAAAGACTTCTTGGTTTCAGCCTTCAAGGTTACATGGAAGGAACAGTGTCCATTCCTCAAAAGCTAACCATACCTATTGATGCGCTGACTTCCTATCTTAACCAGACATTTGATCTTCCTCCTTCAAGTGAGTAATTGCTTCTAATATGTTCTTTACGCATTACATTTTACATCGATACCCCTATATAGGAGTAAATGCTGGACAATCTACACATGGATGAAGAAGAAACTTGAAGTGACAGATGTGGTTCTGCTGATGGATGCTGAGAGTACCATAAACAATATGTGACCAATAAGAAAGTTCTAAAGAAAATAGGTACTAAAAAGACACCTTTTTTTATCATTTCACCCCAAGCAAGGCAATAAAGCCTACTAAGACACAGGAGTGGGGAGTTACTGAGTGTGAGAAAAATAAAACATTATGAAGGAGAGTGAACAATAAAAGAATAGGAATTAAGAAGACAAGATAATGATTGACATTGCATTTAAATTTTTGAAGATCAATGTTGACTGGGGAGGAAGAAACCGGGAAGAATGTTCCACAAGTTAGAAGTGTGAGAAAAGAAATGATTAGCATAGAATTTATGGCTACATCTAGCCATTTCAACTGTAAAATGATGAGACCTTGCCACCAGTCTAATACTGCACTTAAGTTCATAAAGTCTAGGTACCAAAGAAGAAAGATTATCTGAAAAATTACCATGAAAATACTTATAGAAAAGGTATAACCAACCTTGTTTCACATGACATCACTGTGGGGTGATGATTAAATGCCAGAACCTTGGTACGCAACTTGCAAGGTCTCATTTATATCTTTCAGTTGTGTCTTTGGACAGAGTGCACTGAATTTATTAATGAGACGTATCTCGTCCAGGGAATCACCTGTCCCTGGCAATACCTCCCTCATTGCGCAAAAGAGTTGGAATTGGTAGTTGTTGGGGTTTGGCCATTTTTGAACCTGACCCGGGCTCTCGCAATCAGGCTCTCCACATCAAACTGACCCTATGTCACATACTCTCACCATGTGGGGATGATTAAATATCAGAATGTTGTGAGGGTGAGTTCAGTGGATTTTATGACTTTCTGAGAAATTGCATTCATTCTCTTACAACATGAAATAAACTTTGGATTAAATGTCTAGAAAGAAATGAAAATACTTTTGATTAAGAGTTGGATACTTTCTATTGTAGAAATTATCTAGAATAAGCTGGCAAATAGTTTGTGGAAGTATTAAGCTGGTAAGTATTGTCACTGACCTCTTGTCACCTCACTGGAATGATAACAAACACCTAAGAACAGTAAAATTATGCATCTTCAGAGCTGTGTAATAGGGTCTGATATTGAGTGTGTGTGTGATTACCCCCATTATTATATGTATTTGTAGTAGTGGTTGACAGAGGAATCCTTTATACTTTTTTATACTGAAAACAAAATGAATAAAAAACATACAATGATATAACAAGACTTGACACATGTGGCTAATTGAAAAAAGTGCCCGACCTCAGAATACCAGATTAAAGAGAGCAGAATGTATTGTGAAATTCATTATCTCAACTTGGGTATTTCTAAGAGAGTAGTGTCAGTGGATTCATTAACTGTTTACTTAATTTAATGATGGGAAATTAATTAATAACAAGAATTTGTATTTTTTCTTTTTTGTGATATAAATTACAGTTATTGGTATGGTGTATGTTAAAAAAGTTCTCAGTGTTACTGTCTCTTTTGTTTCTTTAAAAGTTTGTGCTTGCTTGTTTTCCAAGAATTTTGCTGTTAAGGATAGCGTTTGAGATCGTCAACTTTAGATTTTCCAGAGCGATAGTGATACAATGTGTTGTGTTCCTTTTTACTACTGCTACTTGCTAATCTAGTTTTCTTTACTGACACTACTGTCCTGACTGCCCTTACTTGTAGTGGAAGGGTCATTTTTATAATCAGATTTTAGAATGATGAAATATCTTTCATCACTGGTGATAAGGTTGTTTTTAGGATGATAAAATTTTTCATCTTTAGTCCAGGGATGCTGAAATATCCTTATTTTCTATCATCACTGATGGCAAGGTTATTTTTAGAATGATGAAATATCATAACAGCTGTTTCGACTTGAAGACACTGTAAATCAGTTTGATTTTTCATTAATGCTTAGTTGAAATGATATTTGCATACATAAACTCCATTTATATTAGCCAAAATAGACTCTGTTTCTTTGTAGTCATGAATAGCCAAAAGGCCAATGACATCACCCCAGTATTAAAATCATTTTAAAACTGGGGTGATGTCGTTTGACTTCTGGCTAAGATCTGAAGAGCATTTTCTTTTTACAGTGAGGTTCACTCCGTACAAAGGGGCCACTCAAGGTAGAAGGGTTACAGAGCAAGAAGCATAGTCTATTCTGATTGATGGGGAACCCTAGACTTGAACAAAAAGGAGGTCAGATTTGAACTCAATAAGGTGAAGTTCCACTTCTGAAAAGTTGGAACGTAGACCTCCTCACATTGGTGTAAGAAGTGATATACGTTGTTTTTAGTTTTTTTTGGCGGGGGGGGGTTGCTAATTTTTATAATTTAATCGATTTCATGTGTGGACTGTATTTTATTTGGTGAAAGACTTGCAGGTAGTGAGATAGACACACCCATAGCAGATGTGTACATAAATAATCAGAACCTGTATTGATCGTACTGAGGTACAGCTGTAACAGTACCCATCATTGCCCCAACAATTTTACTCCAGTTAAATATTCTTTTAATTACCATATATTTACACATATAAAGCAACCTATAGATAAGATGAGACCCAAAATCCAGGTAAATTTTTGTGATTTTTATCTGATATTCATTGTATAAGATGACCTATGCCAGATCAGTTTTCGGTCATCTTATACTATTGATATCTTATACTATTGATATCTTATACTATGGCTAGCCTACACTTCCAGTAGCAGGCCTATCATAATGCAAGTATAAAATAAAGCTGAGGTTATTATAAATATTGTTTTGCTTACCTTTGCTGTTATTAAATCAAAAGGAATAAAATAATATAAAGTATGAGCCTAAATCTTTTTGAAAATAACAATAATGATTTCATTTTTATGACTTACATGAGTGAAAACAAAAGTGTATTCTATAATGAGAAATAAAGATTTTATGACATCTTAAATGTTTTGTTGCTTATTATTGCAAAAATAAATACTGTATAATGCATGTGATTGTAAAATAAAGTTTGCATGTTATACTAAATCTTGTTAATATCACAATGATAATGAATTTTAATTAGAAATATAGATTGTACATTATACTCAATGTTGTTATTTAACACTACTATGAGAAATAATGATTGGTGTGAATGCACCCATAGCTCTACAAATTGAGAACAAAAGATTTGTTTACATTACTTGTTACTTGTGTATGTTGCTCAGTGGAAATTTTGTAAAATATTGTGTAATTGTCTCTTGAATATTGCATTTTAGTGTGAAATCAAGAAGTAAAAGTAGTTTTATTACATTTATAATTATAGTACAGTTTTATATTGTTTCAACAAGAAATATTTACATTGTTAGTTACCACACCAAGGCAGTTGTTAGCTTACTGCAATCCATAGTGCAAGCATACTAGCCTATTTACTAGTGCTGACATGAATAAAGGTTAGCTTTTAATAACTGTTATATCAGACAACCCCCTATTTTGGGGGGTAATTTTTAAGATTTAAAAGTCACCTTATATGTAGAAATATACGGCATGTACTTTATTTTTTCATATTGATTAAAAATGTCTTTAATTGAATGAAGCCTGTAGGTCTTAATGAGGACCATTCTTCTTTAAACCTCATGAACTGGTGCTGTAGAATCATAAAGAATTGTACCAAATAACAAAAACTGCATCAAAAGGGGACTTACAACAGCTAAAATGGATAACATGGAACTCAAAGAGAAAATAATGACATAATCACAATGTTGGCATTCCACACTACTTTAAACAAATGGTTAGGAAGGAAATCCCCATTATTACTGGAAAGAAGGCAGTAACAGTTAACTGTACTTGAGAAACCTATTTTCCTAGAAAATTATTTAAATAGAAAGATTTAAATTTTAACTGATTATATCACTTGGTCAATAAATGCCAAATGATTCCTCATAAGGAAATGGTTAATATTACCATTGATATGACCGTTACAATCCTTTATTTCTGTTCATTACTCCTTTCAGTTAAGTATCTTCATCTTTATTGTTTTTATTACTATGAACTACATCCAGCAAGGCCTCTGAGCAGGAAATTGGAAGTTTTAAGGAGAGTGAAACCACTTCTTAATTGATATTGTTTCCAGGTCCATCCTGACCTTGGGTGGTAGCACTTGTTAGGTTCCCAGCTAAGGGCAAATAGTACCCCCCACCACAAACAAAAATAAAACACTGTGAAAGTATAAAAATACAAACAATACCTATTTATATATTAAAATTAACAACAATACCTATTTGTATAGTAAAATTACCAACAATACCTATGTATGTATGTATGTGTGTGTGTGTATATATATATATATATATATATGTATATATATATATATATATATATATATATAATTTTAAGCATTTGACCTCAAGCAAGGCATGTGTGACACTAGTGTGCAGAGGGTTAAAGAATGAAAGTCAGAGAAAAGACTGGATATAGGAGGAGTTGTAAAAAGGATAAAAAGAAGTACGGGGGATCAAGGCATCAGAAGATGACAATAGACATTGCATTTAAATTTTTGGAGATTGTAGTTATCAGGCAAGCAAGTAAGAGAAAGGGAGTTCCACTGTCGGGAAGTGCAAGGGAAGAAGCTATTGGCGTACAAGTGGTGGTTATTTTTAACTGTTTCAACAGTAAAAGGATGAGAATCTAGTTGCCAACTTAGTAACACGTTTAAATTCATGTAGTTGGGGCACCAGGGAAAATAGTTTGTCAGTGCAGTTGCCATGAAAATATTTTTAGAAAAGACAGAGGGAAGCCAAATCACATCTATGAGAAAGTGACTGGAGTTGAGATGCCAGGTCAGGACTGACTACATTGCAGATCCTTCTTTGGTTTTTTTTTGAGGACCTCAAGATGAACAGCAGGGGCACCAAACTATATATGGTAATATTTTTTATATATTAAAATTACCAACAATACATTATTTTGCCTATAATAGAAGGTATACAATTGTGTTCAAAATATTTAGATCTCTGTATTAAATAACCCATAAAGGTGTTGATATGCCATTAATCAAAATCAACCAAATTCATTATTATGCTTCTGATGATGTATGTTACAGCTTTTTCTGTTTTAATGTTGTCTTTCTCACATTTCTTTTTTATCCTGTTTTGCCATAAATTGGTTCTGTAGGAAATTTATAGTAGAATACACACTTCTCTTTAATTTTATTATGGCCCATTCAAACTGAAATGTTTTGAAATGTTTCATTACAGGTGAGGTGCCTTTGGTTCGATTGTACAAACATGGAATGTCTAACCCGACATATTATGTTCGCTATGCAGGGAGAGAAATGGTTCTCAGAAAGAAACCTGTAAGTATATATAGTTGGGGGGGGTCAAAACAACAAAGGAATGACCTAGTGGTATGAAACATGCATGTTATATTGAGGCAACTCACTTGGCATTTTGTTTTACAAAAAAAATTTTTTTTTTTTTTTTAACCCTCCACCAATGATTCTGACGTTTGATCATTGAAATATTACTCTGCTAGTAATATCACTTCTGAATCATTTGAAAATTTCCTTTTTAAGGTTGGAAACAGACATAGGTCTGAATCAAATTTAATGTCAATAAGGAGCCTTTGTTCTAAGAGAAGTTGAACTGTGGTGACCCCAATATGTACTGGGCTTATCCAGTTAAGACAAACTAGACTTTGCACTCTTTATTAGAGCAGAGCATGAGAGAAGCCAGGTGCATCAGAGGAGCCAGTTACATCAGAAATCATAAACAAAGCATGAAAGAATTAACATAACTTGAATGCTTTTAACAGCAGTGACAAGAAAAGTGAGTAACACCTGTAACTAGAAAAGAAAACAATGAGATGACAAACTATATAAAATAAAAGGTTTCAAAATGAATCTCCGAAGTAGCAGATATGGGAAATTGTTTTAAGAAAAAAATCCATAAATTTCAACTGTTTGAACTTGTAAGAAACCATTACCATTGCATCATTGGTTATTATCATGTGTGGTATAGTGATTCTTGCCAGGAAATACTGGAGGGCTAAATTAGATTTAAGGAGTTGATCTATTGTGATCCCAATATGTACTAGGCTTATCCAGTTAAGTTTCAAAGCCTACTACCATCCTACTCATGACAATGCGATGACAACTCAATCCAAACTGTTTACATTGTTCCAGACTGTTGTCTTCATTTATTACCATATTCACATTTTAGCTGTTTCACACTCCAGCTTTCTTCAGGTGATTGGAATTTCAAACTGAACCCTTTATTTTGTCTGCTGGGATAGATTGTTCTAGTTCCACATGCCATGCCACTTCCAGATATCTGTTATCTCTCCAAGTCTTTTTTTTTTTTTTTTTTTTTTTTTTTTGTTCACTGAACTCAGAATTCTTTTGGTCAAGTCACTGGATCCAACCAACGCTTTTATCCACTGGGCCATATGTCCTTGTTGACATCAGTGGATGAAAGATTCATACACTGATGTCCTGTTAATGTAAATAATTACAATACCTCATCTCATAAATATAGACAGAGATAAGCAAACTATGAAATTTTTTCATCAACTTTTTAAAACTGAATAAAAATCATTTATTAAGGATCATTTTTAAAAATGAAATGTAATTTTTTAAGACCAAATAAAAGTAATTTATTAAGGGTTGTTTTTTAATACATGACTTTATTTTTAATTTAAAAATTTATTGAAAATTGTATACAATTGTCCTCAACTAAATGGCCTTCATGTGCAAATTTTTCTTTGACTAAGAATTTCCATGATGAAAAATTTGAAAATTAAACACCAACACCAATCAGTCAAACTAATAAGTCACTAAGACAAACTTTCAAAATCTCTATGACTCAAAGCTGATTTAAGAGATTTGCACACTATGACAGCCAACACGGGTCTGAAGCTATGAATTCAATGCCAGCATTGAGTTATCCTTGTACTGAGTAGGCAGGTGCTGAGTTGTCATGGAGATGTGTTGGTTGGTGATGATTTGGCAATGAAGAAATGTCCCCTCCCACTACCAGGTGCACAGTCGGGCCTCAAAGGATGTCAGTGGTTGCCCCTGAGATGTTAAACAGGCTAGTGATTCAACTAAGCTTGTATCTGGTATTCCCTTATCAGGTATTACGAAAAGTATATTAGGCTTCATATACTTGTACTTCAGCATCACTTTCTTGGTGTGCTGCTCTCTCAATAATAATTATAATAATAATATTGTGGGGTCATAGACATACAGGTCAGCTCTGATAAACCGTAATAGTTGGGGCCCAAAATTCTATCTGTGGTTTAGATGAAAAGTGAGCCATGATTTCAGGATTGTTAGCTTAGATCACCAAAACAAAGCGTGTCAAGTTCGTGGAGTTATCCATGAAAATGGGTAACACAGTGGCTAAGCATGCAAAATGCGTATTCAATACTAAGAGTTTAATATTGGCGGTTTTGAAAAACATTAAAACTATCCTTTAATTTCATATAAAATTCTGCACCAATGTGAATAAATTTAAAAGACGATGACCTAAAATGATTTCAATTATAAAGCGCCATGTCAATAGATCCATCATTGATGACAGCAAAAGATGGTGGAAATCTCATACACATGAATTTTAACATTTTAACAAGAAAAAAATAAAATTAATTTTTTTGAAACTTTTCAAGTGTTGAAATGTGTTATCTGGCTGCAATGGTAGCTTCCATTAATAATTCTTAAAGCAGTATTTAAAATGGCTCTTCTCTACAGATTGTATAAATTATTTGGAAAAGCACATTATTGATATTAAAGCAAATCCTATTGTGTAAATATGTGAAGTTTTTAAGTTAGGATAAAGGTTGTAAACTGCATACTTCACACTTAAAATGTCCATGAAGTGCTAATCCAAACCACTACATAGTCATGAGTGTGAAATGCCAAAGCCTAAACAATAGTAAATGCCTGGGAAAATATGGATATACTGAAGGTATTAAAACACAACAAATTTATTAAAATAAAAGATTATACAGACAAAATCAGACTTTAAAAAGTGTCACAATCAAGTTTGAATTTGTTTCAAATTGGGATCCATTCATGATTATGATTGTAATTTGAGTATGACAAAAAATTTGGGGGTCTCACACATACGTGGCTTAAGTGACAGCATGGTTTATTGGTAAACGGCTTAATGGCACTGACCTGTATTTGTGGATGAAATAATCTTTCAATGAATGTTTTTTTTTTTTTTTTAAATATATCGTGGGGACCTTTTAAAAGAGTGCTGAATAGCTATCTCCTCAGAGATGAAGAGAAAACTGGAAGTAACAGAAATGTGGTTCTACAGAACGATACTGAGAATTCCATGGGCAGAAAAAATAAGCAACAACCACGAAATAATAACAAAAAGAGCATATAGTCATAAGTAGAAAGAAAGAAACTGAAGGCTTGTAAAGTTTTACTCTGACAGGGTGTTTCAATGGCAATAGAGATAAGGGAAGACAATGAGACCCCTACCTGTCTTTTTATGATTGAAGGGCATAACTGGTGGGGTGGTAGGCTTGGCAAAAGATGAAACACTGCTAAGCACCACAAGGGATAGAAAGTTTGAAGACCCATGATCATTTATGTTCTGAAGAGATGCAGCACATAGAATAAGAAAGAATCTCAATGTTTTTGTGTATATAATCCATAGCTCAAGATGCAGAGATGGTCAGCTCCAAGTTCAGCTGTGGAAAAGATCTGTCATGCTCTATCTCTACAAGAACCTGATTAGAGTCACAACACATAGAAGTGGTATGGGTCTATAAATGCTCTATCTGCAATATCAAACACAGATGTGTTGATCCAAGACAGAAATGCTGATCTATATATAAATAATCCCATCTTTTTAAGGTTATTTCACTATGTTAGAGTAACAGTTTGAGATTGGTATACGAATTAACTTTTTAAAGCCCTTGCATCCAACTGTACCCTGTCTTTTAGAGGTTTTTCTTATATGACATGAAATAATTAAGGTTATCCTCCTTGGACCATGTTGTTATAAAAGAGGAAAATTTTTAACTTTAATTTATTAAATTAAGAGATTAAATATGAAACAAATACTAACTAAAATCTGGGCATGCTGCCTTTAATATTTTGAATTTTTATTATCCTTAGGTCAAATTGGTAACTGATCTAAAAAAGACCTACAATCTGATGTTATATGGTTCAAGGAGTTGCTTGTTAATTTTAACTCCTCCAAAATGAAGCTGCTCTCTTTTAATTATATGAAAGAACCCTTTTTAATTTCCATCACCATGGCTGATGCTAACCTCCAGGAGAGTGCCTCATTGCACCTTGCTGGATTAATGTTCTCCACTGACATGAAGTGGAAAGAGTATATTGAATCAATTGCTAGGTCTGCAGCTAACAATGTTAGTTCCCTGCTTCATGCTAGACATTTTTTCTCACCAGAATCTATCTTAAATATTTATAAATCTGCTATTTATCCTTGTAGATAGTGTGTTGTTCTTGCAATATATTTAGAATAATCTACAATATTATTGGTTCTGACCTGGTATCGTGGTTTCAGTCAGTTTTCCACTGCCATAATGTAGCTTCTCCGTTCCTTTTCTATAAATACTTTCATGGTAATTGTTCTGATGAACATTACTCTATGGTACTTAGACTTTATGAATTTAAGTGCAGTACTAGATTGGCTACAAGGTCTCATCATTTTACAATTAAAATGGCTAGATGTAGCATAAGTTTTATGCTAAACATTTCTTCTCACACACTTCTTGCTTGTGGAACACTCTTCCAGCTTCCTACTTCCCAGTTAACTTTGATCTTATTTTCTGTCTTCTTAATTACTGTTCTTTTATTGTCCTCATTCCTTAATAGTATATTTTTCTCATATTTTTTCTAGCACTTATTAATCCCTTGCATCTTAGTGGCTTTATTGCCTTGCATTGGGTGTAATGATGAAAAAAGATGAAACATTGTTAATCATTAATTTTTGTGTAATATTTCTTTCATTTTAATTTCTGTTACTTTTTATTACTAATTCTTAGATATTTTGCAGATTAAAAATAAAAAGTATTCTCTTAATTGTGAAATTAGCCATTTTGATACAGGCAGCATTCAGTGATATATGCAGCTTGCAACCTACCATTCTATGAATCTACCCATGACCAAAACGCCCAGCCATATATATATATATATGTTATTTCAGGATCATTTTGCAACTTATTCAAGATGATCTTTGCCCTCTCTAACCTTCTAACTTTCTGTCCTGAAGTAACAAGATACCTCACACATTTCACATACAATTTCATTTAGAAGTCTGTTTTCATTTCTCTTTGGACTGTCATAGCTGAAACTCCTCTCTCATATGCCAAACATCATATGGATAAAGTTGGATCTTTTCTGATTGATCTCTTTAGCTCTAAGTTGAAATGATCCCTCTTCCTATTGTGACTTCCTGATTCAGTTTTCCTTTTCCCTCTTTTTTAAACTTATTCATCATTCTCTTGATGGTTCCTAATTTACTTTGAAGATGGAAGCCAGAGTATGAATGTTGGTACAATTACTGAAAGCCTGAATGATTTTTTCCTCTCACCATTGCTCAGTTGAGAAGACAGTGGGACTGACACAAAACAATTTTAACCTGCTCTCTATATAGCTGAGTAACTCAAAGGGTTTTTCAGTGATTCTTACAACACACTGTATCAAGATGGCTAAACATCTTGTATGAAAACCTGGAAAAAAACTCAATTGGTTTTTTAGATATTAAATATTTTATGGGATGGCCAACTATGCTCTTACACCTGGTGTGTGTGTGTGTGTGTGTGTATATATATATATATATATATATATATATATCTCAAGAACAATATTGGAAGAATATGTATGACAAAGTGGGAAAAGTTTTTGTGTGACATATTTTGTCCTTTGGGACTTTCTCAGATTAAATTCATTATGTTGTTGCAACTACACATGAGCACAAACAAGGGATGCTGGGAATTTTATATTATTCCAAAATAATAACTTAGCCCCCTGCTGACAAACCTAATGAATCAAAAAATATTGTCCTACCAACTAACTCTATCACCACTACAACTGAAAAGAATCTATCCATACTCAACATAAAATTTGTTACTATTACATCTAAAACAATAAAAGACTTAGTCAATACTAAACAAATCAATAGGCTAAAACTTGAAGGAGGAATTTATTCAATCACCAGTAAAAACTGTCACAAAAAATACATAGCAGAAAACTCAAGGAACCTAAATAAAAGATTATATGAAAACAAAAGGGACATTTTACAAAACAATATGTTAAATGCATTAGTTGTTCATTGTAACAAAAACTTGACATAAAAATGTTACTGTGATCAAAGGAGGAAACAATTCATTAAGACAAAACTGTTTGCAAGGTCATCTACAGTAAATTAGCACCCTGACTGTTACAACATTTCACCATTCCTGGCAGATCTTGTTCTCAGTTTCAGATATCTAATAACAAAAGTGATGGAAACAAAAAGAATTTAATTGAAATTCGCTAGATCATAAATAAATATATATATATATATATATATATATATATATATATATAAAAGGAAGAGGTTATAGTAGTTCCAATGAGAGAAAAGTGTGTATATTAAAAAGAAGAGAGAAACTACAAACATTTTTGGTTGTAATGTGGATTTTTTTAATAATTTTATGCTTTATTTTCCATAATTTTACTACACATGTTTCTAGTCTCGCAACCTTTATCGGGCAAAGCATGGAGATTTCCACATATTATTAAAAATAATTAATTTTTTTCTTATGTTTTTCAATGTTAAATATTCTCAGTATGTGACATTCTCTTTTTAGTGTGTTAGTGACCCAAATGTCTTTCTTGAACTGGCAGTGAAGAGTTCTGCATGAAGGGTTATAAAACAATTAGGATTTGTCCGAGAAATGGTGAAAGAGTTATCAGCATTCTTATCTTTTAATGACCCTTGTGTGTTCTTAGATCTATTCCATTTTCTTGTGTTTTTGTCAGCATGCATGTATATTTGTATATTCCCTCTCCATACATACACACTGTCTTATTACAAAGAATTAGTAAACATTTTTGTGTGTGTGATATATATATATATATATATATTTTTTCTGCTACTCCAAATGTTATTTTGTGATACCCATGTTTGAGTAGACTCTCTGGTTTTATAAACAATATAAATTTAATCTCCCAGTCTGTGCATTTGAGAGACTTAAGAAAATTTGATTCACTGGGATGTGGCCATAAGCTCATAATTTTGTTATCTGCAAACACATGAATTAATTTAGGATGTGACTTGTTAGCTGTTTTATTTATTTTGAAAATATTTCTGTTTATTCCCAACATATGAACTACTTTTCCTCATTCTTTTTTTAAGCCTGGTAAATTAATTCCACTTGCTCATGCAGTTGAAAGGGAATTTCGGGTAATGGAAGCACTTGGCAAAAGGGGTGTCCCTGTACCCCCAATGATTGCTATGTGTGATGACTTAAGGTAGGTGCATAGGTTTTTTTGATTGCTTTATCTTCCTCCAATAAATGTGACCTATTTTCTTTTTTCTTGTAAAGTAGACAAAAATTTTAAACTGAATTATTAGCAAGTACTAATTATTCAAAATAGTCACAATTCCTTTCTAGCCATCAATAACCAATGGCATCTACCATTCTGAAATAATATAGAGACTTCTCTGGTCTTTTTACCACACTTGGCTGGCTGAGAGCTGAAGAGCATACACCATCATTTTTAATACAGAAAAAAAGGAGACTTGAAGCAACAGATGTGGCTCTACAGAAGGATGCTGAGAATACCATTGTCAGAGCAAGTTTTAAGGAAAATGGAAACAATATGGACACTTGTAATTGAAACCAGATAGAGACAGTTCTAGGACATGCAGTGAGGAAAGAAGGCTTGGAAAATTTAGCATTCACAGAATATATTGAAGGCAAGAGGGATAGAGGGAAAAAAAAGTAGGAGGGAAACTAAAAAGACAAATACTGTTAAGAACTACAAAGCATAAGAAATTGTGAACAGCTATGAGTGCCAACATCCTGAAGGGAAATGGAACATAGAAGAATATGTAGAGGAAAAAATGTGTGAAAAGTGAAGAAAAGAAATAATCTTCAAACACTGCTCTACAAATTTAAATAATTTTTATTACTGAGTATGAAAGCAATCTTTTGTTTTCTTTCAAGCTTCAAAGAAACACATTACAAATTTCTCACAAAGTTCAATGAAAAATATTTTATTTTTATTTTTTTACAACTCAACAGAAATGAATTGTATTAATGTGATTGAAAAGCTGTATGTGACTACATAGCGACAGAGCCACATATTTGAATTGTTTTATGTATGCTTGTAATTTTCCAGCAGTCAGTAGTGAGCACTATTACTATTGCTAATATTCGTTTGCTTACATATCTTCTCATTTGTATATTTTCATGTTGAATAATATATTTAAAAACAAGATGCCATTTGCAAAAAATTACTCGATAATTATGCAAAAGGTTGAGTAATCAATTATTTGAAAGGTGTGTGCCATCAGCATAACACAACCATGGTCAAAGGTTTACAGAAAAACTGATTTATGAACTTACACAACAATATTTATAAGAAAAAATAGGATCAAGGAAGGTAAAAGTTAGATTTACTAAATTCAGAGTATTGGTTAATAAATATATTTCCCAATTTTTTTAATATCTATTTTTTGGAGGGAAAATATTGTTAATCATTTTCTAGTGTAGTGAAAAATAAGGAATAATGTCATCTGCTTTTTCAGAGTGTGCATGTTGTTTGGGATAACATTACTGATTGGTTGATAAATGCTAATGTGAAAATTTGAATTGATGCTTATGTCATGCACAAAAATGAGTTGATTTCTGTGCAAGCCTGTTTTTGCACAGAATTGTGATTTTTTAATATTACTTAAAGCTATTGATTTTAAATGGTTCTGCAATTACAGCAAAACAGCATTAGGGGAACTAGAATAACTACCAGGATTTCAACTGTCTTTTTTGTTTCCATTTTCCTTTAAAACTTCCTCTTTACTCCCATGTTCTGTCCATAGTATTCCCAAAATCCTTCTGTAGAACAACATTTTTGTTGCTTCAAGTATCCTCTTCATCAGTGATGATATTGTCCTGCATTTACTCTCATATAGAAGTACCAATATTACATAACAGTTCAGTTCTCTTTTCTTTGTTTCTTATAACTTTGCTTAGCTTTTGGGAGGCATATTTCACTATTCTAATATGCCTTCAGATTTTGGTGTTTCCATTCTCTATTAAAATATTTAAACATTTGTGCTAGCTTGTTTTTTTTTGTTTTTTTTTTGCTGACAACTGTATGTTCTGTCTTCTTAGAGTTGATAGTCCTTTCTTCTCACTCTCCTTCACTACCTTCCCTAGGTGTTCCTGCAGTTTCCTTTCTGTGTCTGCTGTCAACTTGCATATTTTATGTTATTAAGATTGTGTCCGCCAATAATGAATACTGATAGAACTTCTAGTTCCCTCAAATCGTCTGGCTGTAAAGGAAATGTCCTTATTGTGTTATTCGATATTAAAGCTGAACAACTTCAACAAAATATTGCACTGGCCACCATAAGTATGAATACAGGTCATTATTTAAAAAAGAGGGTACAAATGAAATAAAGATTTTAAATTCACAATTTTTTTCCATTTCACTGAAGCAGATATTAAACACTTGAGAGCATTATCATCACCTTTATCTTCCCATTTTTTTTTTTATTATTATTTATACCTTCTCTTTTCTCAGTAACATCAAACATATTAAATCGTCCATTATTTATCTGAGGCAATGACAAGGTGTAACTCATGTGCTAACTTTCTATCTAATGAAGAAACGAACAGAATTATAATATGATGTAATGGAATCTAAAATAATATATTAAAAAATATCAGAAACATTTTTTTATTTTAAATCTGAAAAATTATCTTTTTTAAATTGTAAAATAGATAGAAAGATGCAACAACAATTTTAGAAAATGTGACACTTATAAAAATCTAGAAAAACATGCAAATATATTTAAAAGGTGTGAAATATGTAGAAATAAAATATCAAATGTGAAAAATAGAGAAGAAATTACAAAATATAAAATCAAAGGAAATAAAAAAGTATAAGTTGATATTGATTCATTCTTATTGGTTATAAACCAATAAAAGAAAAAAAAACAGTAATCTGTTTATTGATAGGCTTGTCAGACATAAACAACTTATTGATGCCATCACAAAATAAAATTTGTTAAACTCTGGTCAAACCTTTTTGACCAGAAATCCACTTATTTTTCTCTTCCATCCCCTATGATCCCCCATTTAAAATATTTTTGAACCTTAAAACTCATACTGATGTTGGCAGTTAAAATGTTATCTAAAATGTATGAAAAATTAAAAAAATTTGGATTAGGTTCAAAATTCCCCCCCCCCACTTCCCAGTGTCATCAAGTTCAGAATTTTCCCACCAAAATATTAAAAATATATTAAATAACCCCAATGAATCAAGAAAATAATATATTAAGTACACCAAGCCTAAATACAGCCAATATTATTGAACCAAACTGCATATCAGCTACTAATATCCAATTAATAAGATATTGTACGCAAAGAAAATGGTTAAAACTTTCATCTGCACCAAAGGATACAATATACTTGTACACTAACTAAAATTTAGCTCTGTGTCATTCATACACTGACCTCTATTTGACCCTTTGACTATCATTGACTCCAGAACTCTTCACCAACCCCTATCGGTTTGCTCAGACCCCACTTGACAACCCCTGATTTAAACGGTATTTTAATTTTGTTTATGTCACCCTTATTTTCCTTCTATCTAGTGTACTGGGGACACCATTCTATTTGATGGGCCTAGTACCAGGATCCATTTTCAAGAATCCACTGCTGCCAGAAAAACATGATTTTGAAAGGAAGCAGATTTATTCTGCCATGATTGATGTTCTATGCAAAATCCACTCAGTCAATGTCACAGAAGCGGGACTTGATGATTATGGCAAAAAAGGTGAGAACATTTATTTTTTTTATTTTTAAATTAATTTTTACTTTTTACAGTTGCAAGAAAATCATAATATTCTAAATGTATGTATGTTAACTCTTTAGACTCCCCGATGACATATACGGACACAGCATCACTATACTAGATGTGATGGCTGTGGTTTCTGTAACAAGTTGGTTTTTATTTGGTGGAATTCCTAGCTCTATGTCCAAATAGTTTTGCATTCAGAGTTGTCCTTCTCCAAAGCTAGACAGCCCAACCATATTAAACCTTAGCTGGAGTGAGACTAGATGGATTCATACTATTCCATGGGTATTTGTGTGAAAGGGAATTTAACATTGTAGTGGTATGTTAATATGAATAGACCACACAATTTATATCTAACGTAAAATACCACGAAACATGAAATACAAGAAGGAACAAAATGGTTTTAAAACATAACATTTGTATTTATTTGTGTGTATTGATGTACATGCATAGAAGTTAAAGATCTGTTGGTGTTATGTCCCTTAGACTGTGAAATATTTTTATCTGAAGTCACAAAAGTTGAATTAATTATAAAACTGAGAAATGCTGAATAAACTGTAGCTTTAGAGGAATATTTCAAAGAGAAAAGTTCTTGTTGCATGTTTGGAAATTTTCTGTATGTTTGTAATGTAGGTTGGAAAAGTTCGTACATGCGTGCATGAGTGAATATGCTTTTAACGTCTGACCGCTCATGGTTGAGATGAGAATCCTTAAGGTCACGTCTTCGCAGAAGAGAAAGCAGCAAGCTTGTGTCTGCTATTTATAATTAATGTAATCACTGTAATGAGTTGGTCAGTCAACTTGAAACCCCCAAAGCGAGTGGAGGTGGGCAGGCGCTGCATAGGTGAGTTACCAAGCTCTATGTAAAGGGCTGGAATAAGGAGGTCAGTTTTCAGTCTCAGAAGTGGAGACTGTGTCCGTCGCTATGACAGCAGGAGAGAAAGAGAGGAAGTCATTTATTTTTTCGTGACACGTTCCAACACAAGCTATTTTGGCATTTACTTTGTCTCCAGCAAGATGGCGGAAAGACCGTTTGACATAAAACTGATCTCCGAATTCAGTGGTGATTTGAGTGGACGGTCTGTGGTTGAATGGATTGAAAAAGGGGAACTGGTCTGTGAATTATGCAAGATCACGAAGATTGAACGGATTCTTCCACTGTGATTGAAAGGCGGCGCCCTTGCTGTGTATAGGCAGCTGAGCAAAGAACAGAAAAGTGACATTGAGCAAATAAAGCACGCTCTACTAACCGCGTTTGGAACAGGCTGGGAATAGATGTTATGCATGTTGGCAGCCAGCACTATTTGACTATTATTGACTGTGGACCCTCTCGCTTCACCATTTGGCGACTACTGCATCGGCAGGACACGGCCAGCATAATACGTTAATTGGAGTCCATCTTTTACGACCAGGGGCCACCTGCAGAAATATTGACGGATAATGGTGCAGCGTTTTCTTCAGAGCAATTCTCAAAGAAGTGGGGGTGTAAACCTGATTCGGTGCGCCTATGTGCGGCGGGAAACAGTAGAAAGGAGCCACCGGTCTATAAAAGTGATTGCAGCCAGGAAGCAATGTTCGATCCCATAAAAGCAGTCTATTGGTATAAACGACGCCTAAAGACGGTGTTTTGCCTAAAACAACAGCACTGGCTAACATGGTGCACACCTATCAACTTACGGCTGCGAGGCATTGACATTGCAATGGCTCTGAGCGATGCGCAAGCTAAATACAGAATTGGTGACGTAGTGTGGGTTAAGCTCCCGCACAGCAAGTGTATGGACAAGCTCAGAATGGGGCATGTTACCGAGATTATCAGTCCGCAGTCAGTGCTGGTTGATGGCGTGCCTCGTCATGTTAAAGACTTGTGGCCAGTTGTAGGGTTAAAACCGTCATTAGATGATGAAAGTGACTCTGAAGATGGTGTGCGAGTGGTGTATTTAAAGTCAGATCCACTGAGTTCTACCTCAAACATCAGTACTCTACCTACGGACGTCAACATGGCCAGCTGTCCAGAGGTGGATAGTAGCTCAACGGATGAGAGTTCATCTGAGGATGAGGACCCTGTCATCCCGCTCAGAAGGAGTGCCCGGCAGAAGAGGCCTGCCCCGAGTTGGACGTTGTGCGAGCATGACAGTGAGACACAGGATGAATCTGGAAATCTGTCACCTCAGAGCAAACGAGTTCGCGCATGTGTGGTTATCCCAATATGTCAAGCGTGCAAGTTGTATATATGCAGACACAGTCACCAGACAGACGCAAACCATCTCTTGAACTGAGAAGCTATGTGATCTTCAGATGGGGGAGGGGGGTTGTGGCTTGGTGGCGTGTAATGAGTTTGTCAACTTGAAACCCCAAAGCGAAAGTGGAGGTGGGCAGACGATCCGGAACTGTGATTGTAGCTGGCTTGTTGGTGTTTTGCATAGGTGAGTTACCAAGCTCTATGTAAAAGGGCTGGAATGAGAAGGAGGGCAGTTTTCAGTCTCAGAAGTGGAGACTGTGTTTCGTGACGCATTCCAACACAATCATGTAACAGGCTCACAGAAAATGTTGGCAAAACTTGACTTGGTCACGCGCTGGAAAAATATTTGTATGTGGGTGGATTGCAATGCCTACTTGTGTGTTTATTGACCAATTAGAAGCTGATATTTACTGTAAAAAATTCAACATTGATAAGAAAGTGGTAGTGGGATGCTACAATACTTAGGCTGGAATTTCAATTTAACAGGCCAGTCTCACTTTCTGTGTTGATAACTGCTATGCTATATGCACATCCAATATTCTGAATAGGTATTCTAAAATCACTGGATGTAAGTTAATGATAAAAAAATAAAATGCCTGACATGCAGACATAACCTTTTGGCAAACACAAAAAATTTCCCAGTCACTACAAACAACTGTCATGCTGGTGTTGGTATCCATGAACCTTTCCTCTTTTATGCAATGAGTGAATTGCTGCCACAGGGACAGAATCCCCCAGGACCAGGCATACCATAAGGATTTTCTGTTTATTGTCTGAAATCAGAGATATGGCAGGGAGATGAAGAACAGACACTACACCTTGCTGAAGGCTGGGGAATGTCGGCACCAAAAGACTACAACATCACCAACTGAAAGGACATGCCATATAGAAAAAGTCTTCTACACCTCTTCAGCTTCTCAAGTCTTTTGCTTTATATTTTCTTAAAGACGTGTTAATTTTCCAAATGTGTGGGTAGTGTAATTCTAGGGTAGTCAGCTGCATTCACTTTCACACAAATGTCCTTGTGAAAGGAATCGGTCTCTTCCCCCAGCTATGGGTTAAATAAGGTAGATTGGGCTCTCTAGCATTAGGTGACAAGCAGTCTAAAAGATGGAAAACTCTGAGTTCCAAACTGTAAAGAACATAACAAGAAACCACTCCACTATTTTTTCCCAAGAAGGCATAGCAATTCCCAGGTGAAAAAGAAAAATCTATGGAGTGTCATGATCACCAACACCTTAAAGGCACATTTAAAGTAAAGAAAGCTGTGGAGAGTCATAATCACCCATGTCTGGAACAAAATGAATAAAATAAAAAATTTTAAAAATTAAAGAACTCAAATGAATATGTTCTTTTCCTGTGCTATTTTTGTATAAATGATTACAATTCAATGATGCTAATTTAAGAAATTATTCCATTCATAAAAATAAAAAATAGGGAAAATTTTGAACACTATTTACATTATTGAGACTATTGTCCTCATCTTTGTCACCATATTTATCACATTTTGGCTGTTGTAAACTCCGGCCTTCTTCAGGTGGTTGGAATGTCAAAATGAACCCTTTATTTTGCTCAATGGGGTAGACTGTTCTAGTTTCACGTGCCATGTCTAATGTCCTCAAGGACACATGGCACAGTGGATAAAGGCATTAGTTAGATCCAGTGACAAGACCCAAAGAGTGTGAGTTCAATACCTGGTTAAGGCGGTGGAGAACTTGGAGAGGGGAATTAACAGGAGATAACTGACATCCATTACACATGGCACATGGAACTAGAACAGTCAACCCCAGTGAGCAAAATAAAGGGTTCAGTTTGACATTCCAACCACCTGAAGAAGGGCATAGCGTACAACTGCCAAAACGTTGTGATAAACATGGCGACAAAGATGAGGACAATAGTCCGAATGATGTAAATAGTGTACATAATACCTCATCTCAGAAATATAGACGGAAAATTTTGAGTAGTGTGGGTAGGGGTGGAGAATAATTTCTGTAGATTTGTATTCATTAGACATTTTGTAAACCACAAAATTTGTTAGAATAAAAAAAAAAATTAATAATTTTTCATTGATTTTATAAAAGTGTAAAAATTACTGCCTGACTTTTTAAAGAATTATTGAACTTTGCTGTTATTTACAAATGTCAACTTTGAGCTTACAGCCACATCACGTTGAAACACCAGTTCCTGTACAATCACTGAATTTAAGTAACATCGACCCTGATCAGTACCTAGATAGGTGACTGCTTGGGTATACCAGGTGCTTTAAGCTTGGATATGTGGGTGGTGTAATGGATGATGGCTCGGAATTGTTAATCAGAGAGTTCCAATTCTAGTTGAGTTTGTTATGTTCCCCTACACACAAATATCCTTGGGAAAGATATGAATTCACCTCTTCTTTCCCCAGATGGGTTAATTAGTAAGACTTGTATCATTAAGATCATTATTATCTCAAAAAAAAAAAAAAAAAAAAAGATTGCATACAAACATTTAGATTTAGGTATTAGGTCTTGATATGCCACTAAACAAAATCAATCAATCAACCAATCAAATGTCAAGTTTGAAACTTTAGTTTCATCATTGATATCTGCATGTGGTTTTTTTTTTTTTTTTTAATTGTATAAAACTTTTTCTAAGTGATAGGAATATTTTTGGAGGCAAATGCACAAAGATTGAAGTAAAATAATTATTTATCTTAAATCAATACTAATCAGATATATACTTTTATTAATTTCTGTAAATCTTTTTCTTTAATTAAACAAAAATGCATATCCATTTGTTCTTTATTTAAAAGAAATCTTTTTGAAAAAAATAAGAAAAATCTATTTTCATCTGCAGAATCATCACTATGAATCTATTTTCATCTGCAGAATCATCACTATGAATCTATTTTCATCTGCAGTATTATCACTATGAAAATACTAACACTAACAAAATAATAACAGATAACACTACAAAAAAATCAAAGATCAATTTCGAGCCGTATCGTCATTATAAACATGTCCGCCCTTTTAAAATGATAAAAAAAATCAATATTTTTTTTTTTTATTCTGACAGATGTCTCACCTCAAAGATGGTCCAATGAATTCTAATCAGTAAAAATTATTTCTAAAAATGTTTTTCCTTTTTTTTACAAGTTGACAATCTCCTTAAGCACATTCCTATTTCAACAAGTAAAAAACTTTTTCCTGCTTATATATATATATATATATATATATATATATATATATATATATATATATATATAATACAAAGAGATTCATTCTTATTTCGACTTTTAAAAAATTTGAAACGTTCTTGTTACTGTCTTAGGTAATTATGTCAAAAGGAATTTTACACGTTGGGCAAAACAGTATGAAACTACTAAGACGAAAGATATTGCAGCCATGACAGAAATGATGGAATGGATAAAAGACAATCTTCCTGAGAACGAGACCACGACGGTGATACATGGAGACTTTCGGTGGGTATGTTAACCTGCTCAGTAAAATATTTGGAAGTACACACCCAGGATTAAAATTGAATCTAATTCAAAACTTAATGGTTATTTTAATTTTCTACTCTGGTCTTTATCTATTTATACACACCTCTCTCTATCTCTGCTTGTACCTCTACACATCTTTCTTTTGCTTTCTCTGCTTGACCCTCTACACATCTCTCGCTCTCTACTTGCCCCTTTACACATTTCTCTTTCTCTGACTGCTTGCTCCTCTACAACTCTCTCTCTCTCTCTGTTTCCCTCTCTACACATCTATTTCACTCTCACTGTGCTTGGCCATCTGCACATCACTTTCTCTCATACTCTACTTTCCTACTATAACATCTCTCTCTATCTCTCTGCTTTCCCCTTTACACATCTCTTTTTCTCTCTTTCTGTGCCTTTCTACACATTTCTCTATCTCTCTCTACCTGCCCCTGTACTCATCTCTTTCACTCACTCTGCTTGCCCCTCTACACACCTCTTTTTCTCTCTCGCGATACACAGTTCATTCTCTCTCTCTCTCTCTCTCTCTGCCTGCTCCTGTCTTTTCACCTCTCTTTCAGCTTTCTTCTGAATACACTTTATTTTCTTTTTCTCTGTCTGCCTCTTTACACACCACTCTCTCTCTGTCTTCTTACCTTTTTACCTACCTCTCTCTCTCTGCCTGCCTCTCTACACACCACTCTCTCTTCCTCTGCCTGCCTCTCTACATGCTAATCTCTCTTTATGCCTACTTCTGTTTCTATCTTTTGTTTAGACATTTAGAACCAGCTGATGTTGTATCTTTATATTGTATATGAAATTTTTCTGTATTTTAACCAGAGAGAGAAAGAGTGAGATGCTTTTACAAGGTCATGTTTATACCTACATCTGTTAAAAAGGATTTGAAGACTACCTTATAAACTGAACTTAAAAATGGCAGCACTCATCAAGAAACATCATAAATAGATTTCTAATGAAATTTGTAATGTCTGCAAATTTTGGATCTCCTTACTCTGGCAGGAAAATGGATTGCAATTCAAAACAGTAGATAATGATGAAGGCAGTGAAAGTCATCTTATTGTTGCTGATGGAATATTTACATCAGTATGACATACATTAACATTAATGATATATAGACCACTTTTGGGAAGGGAGGATTTGAGAAAATCTGTGTGTATACAAACACACACACACACACATATATATATATATATATATATATATATATATATATATTAGGGAAAAAGTATGACAAAGTTGAAAAGTTTTTCATGTGTGTGTTTCATCTTTTAGGACTTAATCAGACTAAATTGATGTTTATGCTGATGTGACTACACATGCATATGAAGGCAAGGGACACTGAGAATTTTAAATTTCACACAAAACCTTTTCCATATATATATATATATATATATATATATATATATATATATATATATATATATTACTTATTCAAAATTATAACATAAACATGTTATAAAATCAATACAAAATAACCATTTTTCTTTCAACACTTCTGGTGTCTTTCTCAAGTGATGGTGTTGAATGTAGAATAAAGTGTTTTGAATATGTTTTTTAAAAGTTAGTTTTTAAAACTCTTTCTTCTACATTCCAACATCATCACTTGAGAAGACACAGAAGTGTTGAAAAAAATGGCTATTTATTATTGATTTTATAACATGTTTATGTTATAATTTTGAATAAATAATATTTGCTCTTCTCTGTATTGAACACTCTTTTAAGAATAGTGTTTTTGGTTATTGAAATTTTATTCCTTCCACACAATCATATACTTGGATGGATATATATATATATATATATATATATATATATATATATATGTTCATTAAAACGACAGACAAGGTACTACAGTTGAGCTTTTTATTTAATTTTTCTTGTGTTCTGACAAGAGCTTTCTTTTTCTGGACAAAGAGTGTGTAAGAACTGTCCGAATGTTCTGTGTTTCCGAGCGCTTTGGCTATACCTTTAGCCATTATCAAGGATGGTTCAATTATCAGCTTAGTAGAGTGTGTGTTCTATGTATGTTCAGTGTGTGGTAGTGATGTTTTAGTTTCAGATAAGTTAGCACATTGTGGCTTTGTTCATAGTTGATATTGTTAAGAGTTGGCTTTTTCTTTTTTTATTATTAGAGCTTCCATTATTTTTTGTCTTTTTTTTGCAAGTGGATGCAATTAATATATTAGTGTTTTTCTACTAGTATGTTCCTAATAGTGTCGGGTAAATCTGAGTGTGTGTTTAAATGTGTTCTGATGGAACTGTGATCAGATGGGTGTAATGTAAGATGTCTGGATAAACCGATGTAATTATTTATGAGTCCGGTTTGGTGAGGAACGCAGTTCCTTAAAGAACATTTGAACTCATAGATAATGTTCGCTTCTTTTGTAATTTGACTTCGTTGGTGTGTTGTTATTTTTGAGGATAAGGTTGGCCGTCTTAAATTTTTATAATAGATAATAAGTTTGATTTTTTTCCGGGTCAATAGGAGTAGTATATTTCTTTATAATATGTCTTAGGAGCAGATTCATCTTGCTTGTAATTAATATGCATTTGGTTTTTAATAAATGTGTATGTGATTTTTAGTTGTGTTCTGCTATCATTATTATTTGCTTTGGGGAGGAATATTCTAATTTGTTGGTCTATAAGGTAGTTAGGGAAACCGTTGTTAATTAGTGTTTGTTTAACGTTGTTAAGTTCTTTGAGAAAAAGAGTAGTCGAGAGGATGAGTTCTGGTAGGCTCTATTTAGAAAGTTTTTTTTTATTACAGCTATTTTGTACCTAAGTGGACATTCTTTTGAAATTAAGGTGGCAACGAGTTTTTGCTGGTGGGTTTTTTTGTATAATGATGTAATAAAAGTGTTATTGTTATGTTCGAGGATATCTAAGAATGGAGTTTGTTTTTTGGCTAAGTTCATATGTAAAATTAAGGACAGAGTTTTTTTTTTCTCAAATGTGGTCTTAAATTTCTTTAATGTTATCAGCTAAAATGAAATATATCATCCTGAACATAGATTTTCGGGTTTGTGGACCTGTGTAAATATGGTATTTTCGTGAGGACATATAATAGTTAGAGAAGCATGGACAATGGATTTTCCCATACTAACACCATTAGTTTGGGTATAAATATTGCCATTATGGTCATAGAAGGACTTTAGTTTGTGCATCGTGTAGTAATTTTTTAGGATAGGTGGTTTTGATGGATGGCGAGGAGGGATGGAATTATTATTGTATATAGAGTTGAGGATAATATCGATAGTTTTGTCAACAGGGACGTTTGTGAATAAGTTTTCAACGTCCGGTGACGCCATTATACCTCTTGATTTGTTCCATTTGTAGTTTTAAAATTTGTAGGAATTCGTGGGTGGAGGTGATGCTGTAATTGGTAGGTAGGTATGGAGTGATGATATCGTTAAGGAAATTTTGATAGCTCGTAGATAGGTGTTGGTATCTGAAATAATTGGTCGAGCGGCATCCTGGTTTATGTGTTTATGTTTCCCATATAGGTATCCCGGTTGGTAATCTCAACATATTTTTGAATTTTCAGGAAGGACTTCGCGTTGTGAGCTGTTATTAGCTTGTTAACAACCTTTTAAATTCTCAGTGGGATTTCGTTTTCAATTTGGTGAATTTAGATAGGTCATGACGATATCTTTTTAATTTTGCTGGTAATCAGCTTTGTTGACTATAACATATATGTTAGAAATGACAATGTCAGCGTTGTTTTTAAATCTTTCGCAGCGTTTTTTAGTTTTGGTGTTAAAATACTACTATGGTTGGTGAGAGATCGGTTCTTCAAACCCTCAGCTTTGAGTAAGTCTTTCAGGTCAGGTGTACTGCTATGTCACCACGCATGAAAGTTAGGATAGTGATTGGTATAGAATTTCAATTTCGGTTGTCTTGTGATAAGGTCAAACTTGGGTTGGATGTGGCAGTTGGACCTAAATTTAGAAATTCTTTTGGTCATCTGTTAATTTATGGTTGGATAAATTTAAATATTTGTCTTCACTGTTGGGTAGTAAAATATTTCCTTGATATAATTTACAAAAGTTTTTTGTAATTATTTGTCATTATATTTTAACACAAAACTAAAAAACGCTGAAAGATTTAAAAAACAACTGACATTGTCATCAGACCACTTTGATAAATCTAACACATATGTTATAGTCAACAAAGCTGATTACCAGCAAAAATTAAAAGATATCGTCGATGACCGATCTAAATTCACCAAATTGAAAGAAATCCCACTGAGAATTTAAAAAGGTCTGTTAACAAGCTAATAACAGCTCACAACCTGAAGTCGATTCCCTGAAAATTCAAAAAATAGTTGGAGATTACCAACCGATACCTATATGGAAACATAAAACACATAAACCAGGATACCCGCTACGACCAATTATTTCCCAGATACCAACAACTACCTCAAAATTCCTTTAACGATATCATCATCCATACCACCTACCAATTACAGCATCACCTCCACCCACGAATTCCTACAAATTTTAAAAACTACAAACGGAACAAATATAGCTCACTGGACGTTGAAAACTTATTCACAAACGTCCCTGTTGACAAAACTATCGATATTATCCTCAAAATACACAATAAATTCCATCCCTCCGCCATCCATCAAACCACCTATCCTAAAAAAAATTACTACACGCATGCACAACCAAAGTCCCTCTATGACCATAATGGCAATATTTATACCCAAAAACTAATGGTGTTAGTATGTAAAATCCATTGTCCATGCTTCTCTAACTATTATATGTCCTACGTAGGAAAATACCATATTTACAGGTCCACAAACCGAAAATCTATGTTCACATGATGATGATATATTCATTTTAGCTGATAACATTAAAGAAACAGAGACACTTAAGACCACATTTGAGAAAAACTCCGTCTTAATTTTACATATGAACTTAGCCAAAAAAACAAACTACCATTCTCCTAGATATCCTCGTTGAACATAATAATAACACTTTCATTACATCATTATACAAAACCCACCAGCAAAAACTCGTACAACTTTTTAATTTCAAAAAGGATCGTCCACTTTAGGTACAAAATAGCTGTAATAAAAACTTTCTAAATAGAGCCTACCAGAACTCATCCTCTGACTACTCTTTCTCAAAAAACTTAACAACGTTAAACAAACACTAATTAACAACGGTTTCCCTAACTACCTTTATAGACCAACAAATTAGAATATTATTCTCCCAAAGCAAGTAATAATGATAGCGAACACACAACTAAAATCACATACACATTTATTACAAAAACTAAATGCATATTAATTACAAGCAAGATGAATCTGCTCTAAGACATATTATAAAGAAATATACTACTCCTATTGACCCGGATAAAAATCAAACTTATTATCTATTATAAAAAATTTAAGACGCCAACCTTATCCTCAAAAAATAACGAGCCACCAAAATTCAAAAGAAAGAGCGAATTATCTATGAGTTCAATGTCTTTAAGGAACTTTCGTTCCTCACCAAACCGGACTCATAAATAATTACATCGCCACAACCACATGTTTATCCAGACATCTTACATTACACCTATCTGATCACAGTTCCATCAGAACACATTTAAACACACACTCAGATTTACCTGACACTATTAGGGAACATACTAGTAGAAAACACTAATATATTAACTGCATCCACTTGCAAAAAAAGACAAAAAATAATGGAAGCTCTAATAATAAAAAAGAAAAGCCAACTTTAACAATATCAACTATGAACAAACAACATTGCAAATTCGGAAACTAAAACATCACTAAACACCGAAATACATAGAACACACACTCTACTAAGCTGATAATTGAACCATCCTGATACCTTGTCTGAAACACAGAACATTCGGACAGTTCTTACACACTCTTTGTCCAGAAAAGAAAACTGTCAGAACACAAGAAAAAATTAAATAAAAAGCTCAACTGTAGTATTTTGTCTGTCGTTTTTAATGAAAATGCATAAAGGAAGGATTGCTGCCTAAATATACAAATATATATATATATATATCTCCAAGTATACTAGCAAGCAGAAAATTTTTTTCTCCTGATGATGGCTATGTTGCCCGAAACTAGTCAAGGAATCTAAATGAAATGATAATAAAAGCGAAAGAATATTAATATACAACCCAGTGTGTCTAAAGATTTTAATTTTTTAATATTTTTTATTGTTCAATATATATATATATATATATATATATATATATATACATACACACACACACACACACACACACACACACACACAGAGGGTTCAATGGGTAAATTGTCGCCATTTTATATTTTTTATTTCATGTGTTTGTTTTTGTTGACTGCACAGCATAGTAGGGTCATTTGGGCACCATCTGTAAAAAAAATAAAAATTAAAAAAAAAAAAAAAGCACCATAACACAATTCACTCCACCAGAAATTTGGAAATGGCATACTGTACTGCTTGGCATTCACACCAGAAGCTCCAATAGAAACATTTCAGTACAAATTATGTAAACTCTGGGTTTCATAATTTCTCACACTTCCCTCATCAGGACTTAAGTCAAATATTGAGCACTTTATTGGTGTCCCCTGCATAGGGTTTAAGGTCCTCCTGTCACCAAAAATTAAAACAGACTATCTGCCGAGTGGATGCTTGAAGACTTGAACATACACAACCAATGCATAATAAGTATAATAGAAAACATTATTTTTTAATATAAGTCTTGATATGTAAATAAATAAAAAAAATTGCATATGAATAACATCTAATCTGTTCAATTTTCCTTGTTTTGTTTTTTCCAGACTTGATAACACCATCTTTGATTCTCTGGACCAAAAAGCATTGGCAGTTATTGATTGGGAACTCTCCACCCTTGGCGATCCACTTACTGACTTAGCAACATGTTGTTTTATGTATTATATCCCGTCCAACTTCCCCTTTTTACAAGGTTAGTGATTTTTGGAGTCTTGGAGGAATACAGGCAGCCATGTCAAAATGGCTTATTTTGAGATATGGTGCCCTTTTATGGCAGAGACAAGCTATGTGCCTCAGTACTCATCTAGTAACAATTTCTCTCTATCTGCCTCTCTATACGCCTCTGTCTATCTGTCATTGTATACAACACGTTCTGCCTGCCACACTATATACCTCTTTTTGTCTCTACATCCTTCTCTATGCACTCTTTCTCTCCCTCTCTACGTCCTTCTCTGTGCACTCTCTCTCTACCTCCTTCTCTGTGCACTCTCTCTCTCTCTGCCTGCCTCTCTACACATCTCTCTCTGTCACTGTACACACCATCTCTGCCTGCCACAATATACCTTTACACACACACACTGTCTGCCTTTCTACACACCTCTCTCCTTCTTCCTCCCTTTCTACACACCTCTCTCCTTCTTCCTCCCTTTCTACACACCTCTCTCCTTCTTCCTCCCTTTCTACACACCTCTCTCCTTCTTCCTCCTTTCACACCCCCTCTTCCTCCCTTTCTACACCTCTCTCCCTTCTTCCTCCTTTCCACACCCTCTCCTTCTTCCTCCCTTCCCACACACCTCTCCTTCTTCCTGCCTCTCTTCAAACCTCGCTCCTTCTTCCTGCCTCTCTTCAAACCTCTCTCTTTTCCATCCTGGCTTGAGGCTTTTGGACATCTAGTCACACTGAGGAGCTGTGATGCAGTGAAACTACTGTCTGTGAATGACATATATATATATATATATATATATATATATATATATATATATATATATATATCTGCCTCTGTACAGTTCTCTCTGTGTCTCTGTACACACCACCCTCTACCTACCAAAATATTCCTCTCTATGTACACTTCTCTCTTTCTCCCTACCTCTTTAAGCACATCTCTCTTTCTGCCTGCCTGTTTAAACACCTCTCCCTCTCTCTCTGGATGACTATCTGCTCACCTCTCTCTTTTTACTTGCCATTTTACACATCTCTCGCTCTCTCTGCCTCTCTACATACTTCTCTTTCTGTCTGCCTCTCTATGCACCTCTCTCTCTTTCCTTGATTCACATCACTACCTCTGTCTGCCTAACTCTCTACACACCTCTCTCTCTTTCTATGACTGCTTCTCTACCCATCTCTCTCTTTTGCTCTCTTTGTTTGAGTAAATTATAGTGATTTTTTTATAAAATCATGTTTTCTAGATCAACATTGTGATCATGAGGCTTTCACTGAAAGGTTTGAGTGAAATGATGTTTTGCCCTGAATCCCTGCTTGAGACAATTGTTGTGAATGCAATAATCAATCACTCAGTAGACAAGCTCATTCAACAGCTGATTGAGTGACACTATAGAACAGTGTCTCTTCTTGCATGTGTAGCAATTTCTTTTTTGATTAGTTGTCAAGTTATATCACGAGAAGTTTCTATTATGTTAAGTGGAGCAAAGGGGCTATAAGTCATTGTTGAAAACTGACATCTAAAGTAAAAGTAACCTATTAATGCATAGAATGATGCAAGAAAAAATTCATTGGATAAAAAAATGTAAAAGTAAAATCATTGGATAAAAAAAAGTCATAAAAGTAAAATCATTGGATAAAAAATGCCATAAAAGTAAAATCATTGGATAAAAAAAAAATATCATAGAAGATAAATCACACCTCTCTCTGACCTTCTCCCTGCCTTTTTAAACCCCTCTCTCTACACATCTCTCCCTTTGCCTATATTATCTCGATATCATTGAGTAAATTATGTTCATTTTTTTAAAAATCATGTTTTCCAGATCAAAGTTGTATCATTTTTCTTATATTTTATTTATTTAATATTTTGTTTATTGCTTTCCTGTGTAGCTCATGTATGCTTTTTCATGCCCCATGTATGCTATGTATAAAAAGGATGACAAAGACATTTCTGTTTTTTTAGTATTGTCTAACAATTGATTTTATTATTTACATTACAGACTATTGTCTGCATCTTTGTTGTTGTTATCATAATGCTTTAACTGTTGTGCCCTCCAAACTTCATCAGGTATAAGTTGATTCAAGTAACATACTGGGAATTCCAAACAGAACCCTTTATTAAGTTATACACTGGCTCTTGTACAATCACCAAAGTTAAGCAACATTGAGCCTGGTCAGTTCCTAGATGGGTGACTGCTTAGGAATATCAGATGTTGTAGGCTGGAATCTGTAAGCAATGTAATGGATAGAAACCAGAGAACCAAGTTCCAGTTCCACTTGGGCTCATTATAATCACTTCCCTGCAAATACTCTTGGGAAAGGTATGAATCCACCTCTTTTCCCTCCAGCTATGGTTAATTACTAGGGCTTGTTATCAGTAAATCATTATCATCTCCAAAAAATTCTTACAATCTAAAAATATTTTCTTACTTTAAATAACCTGTAAAAGGTTGATAAGCCATAAAAAAAAAACAAATCGGTCATATTTCATCTACAGGGGTAGTGATTCGATAATTTCTGTCTGAATTTCATGTAGGTTATCCAGATCAACCAACTACTGATTAAGTCCAGCAGACACAATAAATGAAACATGATAGCAACAAAGTTGAGGACAATAGTCCATGTGTAAATAGTATCATTAATGATAACTCATCATCCCAGAAATTCAGATAGAAATTTGTTTTATATTAAAAATTATTTAAATTTTTTTTTTATTAATAATCGGTCAATATAGTCATTATAATTGCATTATTACAAGTTAATAAGTTTTTCTTATGGTGTTTTTTCTTTGTTTTAATCAATCAATCTTTTCATTTTACCTCTGATAAGTCTAAAATATCACTTCAGACAAAACTTTCATACATGGGAAGTTTGTCTTTCAGGGATGATGGCTTAACCAATTAGGCTATTAAAACTGTTATAATCAGGCAGGATTCTCATCAATAATCATCAGTTACCATCTTTCTTCAAACTCTGTTCTATATTTCTTCATGATTTCTCCCTCAGATGATCTGTGTGGCACCGTTTTGAAGTGCCTGGAAACCCTACCACAGATTGGAACATATTGGTTAGGTAAAACTGTTCATAAGCTATCAGTAGTTATGCTAATACAAAGTTGCAAGTCACCATGAGCAAAGGTTTGAGCATTCTGGCTTTGTTCAATTCTTACCAAATTGTGTGCTCACTTGTGGAAATTTTTAACTAAGGTCCACTCAGTATAAACTAAATTCTGTGGGTGATTTTAAAATAGGGATTTAGCTATCCACTTTAGTAGGTATCATAGCCATTGTCTTCTGGGACTGATTCTACTAATCTATAGAATAAGTGCGAATGTCAGTTTGTCACAGTTTTCAACTTTACTCTTAGAGGCCATAGCCCAACATATCATACTATTTTAGAATCAGGCTAACTCCATGAACAAATTAAATTAAAAGCATTCTGAGCCAGATCAAGACCCACAATCCTGAAATTTTGGATTCCCAAGTTTTCATTACTATGATTGTTTTGGACAATGATTTTTTTATTTTATTTTTTTTTTAATATGATTTTTGCTATAAATTTTTTTGTACGATAACAATTTTTATAACTTGAAAATAAATTTGGGAATAATCAAAATTAATTGCAAAATCTAGAGAAAGTCACCCATGAAATAAAAATAATTGTTTGTACAGAAAGTAAGGACCTACGTACATCAAACTTTTTAAATTAAGTGGCAGAACTTTTAAAAGGTAAGCTTAAATATTAATGCAGTACTCAAATGCTGCGATCAATTTTCAGTTCTTCTGTAGTTTATTATTCCCTATCGCATCTACTCCTCCGTACACATTGTGATGAAAGCCCAATCAAGAAACTTCCGCCTGATAGGGCTGCTTTTCGCCTAGTTCTATTGATTTTTTTTCTTTTTTGTAAGTGAAATATTTTTTTTACAATTTCAATTATTTTAGTTTCTCTTCGTTTTGTTTCGATTTTTTATTATTATTGCGCTTGTAACTGAGATGTCTTTATGACGTTTAACTAAATTTGAAGATTTGGAAAGGAAAAAAATTAACGAATAAAAACACATCTTACAAATTTAGTATTTATAGCAACGCAAGGGAGATAATTCATTTTGATTCGAATTGAATTTTTCTTCGTGCTATTGACCTTTTTTTCTGTTATAAGTAAGAAATAACAAAAAACTATTCTTGTAAGTCAGTGTACAGTGCATTCATCTGTTTTGTGAGAATATCAAAGAGCATGTTTGTGTCTCTTCAAACAATGGATCAATTTAAAAATTCACAAGTTAAAATTTAAACTGTCATTATTCATTTCGTCCACAAATCAATCTGAAAAAAGGTATGGTCATTGAATGTTTACTTGGGCCAAAAAGCACGACAGTTTGTGAAACCTCATTAAATAATGAAAATAGCAAATTGAATAAAGAAAATAATTTTAATTCCAGATACAATAGATGGAAATACTCTTAAGCTTTTTCATCCAACTTTTAACAAAAACAATTTTGGGAGGATTTTTAGACCCACTGTTAATCATTATTTAATATAGTTTTATCTTTGACAATAAAATTATGTTAAATAATATCAAAATAATAATCTGATCATAATAAACTGATAATAAATAATATTAATATAAAATTAAAATAAAATATGTAATTATATTAAAAAGAATAACTAAAAAATAATAAAAACTTAAATAATATTAATAAAATAATATGAAATTAAAATGATATTAAAGATCAATAATAATTATGAATAACTTAATTATAATAAATATTAAAATGATATAAAATTAAGATAATATTAAAAATAAAACTGATAATAAAGTAATATTAAAATATAAAATTATATTATAAATATTAACAAAATAATAGACTGGTTATAAGTGATATTAAATAATGATATAGGATTAAATTAAAACAATATTAATAAAGTAATATAATAATATTGAATTAAAATATTAAAAATAAGAACTAATTAAATAATAATAACCTGATGTTAATAAACAGAAACTGGTAACTAATGTAACTAATATTAAAAAACTGTTGATATAGTTGAAAATTAAAATAATTTTAAAAATAAACATGTATGCTTTACAAAGAATAAAAATAGCATAAGAGTCATAAGGAAATGTGTGTTTTTATTTTGTTATGTGAAGTAAAATCTTTGAACATTTGCCACACACTGCAGCCAGATCAGTACGTGACAATGTTTGGTTTGTAGATGTATTGTAGCAATATAGCCCTGGATGCTTGTTTGTGTAGCATCTTACCTAATGGCATGTAAGAAAAGCTAATATTGTAGTAAAATATCATAGAAGAAATGTCATTGGATGGATTTTTTCACTATATACTCCTTTGACAATTTTTTTTATGGTTTTAAAAAGTTATTTTTAGAACCACAACATATGAAACTAAATGTCTCTGCCTATTTTAGTGATTTTTATGTGGCAAAAGCAAATGAAAGAAATGCCCAGAAAAAGCATTTTTTTTCAAAATTTATTACTGTTTCTCATTATTATGTGTTTATTTAAATTTTCTTAATCATAGACTGGCATTTTTATAAATTTATACATAAAAAAAAAATGTTTTTTATGGCTATTTCTTTATAATATGGCAAATATAAATACTGCATTGTAGTTGGTTCACATATTTTTATCAGCTTGTCAATATAAAATTATTTTCGTAAATAAACAATCTAATAACTAAATAAATAATGTTTAATAATTTTGTTGTCAATTCTCAAGAAAAATAAAATCTATATAAATCCAGTTTCATATGTTTTAAAATTCTAAAAATAGCTTTTTAAAACAATAAAAATTACCAAAGTATACACTGACAGTCTATTACTGTCAGTGTATACTTTGGTGTTGAGAGAAAACCTCTTCCTTGAACACATCTTTTTTGCAGTCCCATTTGTTAGACTTTGTCATGTTTTTTTTTTTTTTTCTGTATTTTATTTCAAAGTGTCTAACATGCTGATTAAAAATAAGGACAGGGAGATAAAATTCCATTACCTTCATAGAAATCAATTATCAACAGAATTGCAGTTCAATAATGATGAAATAAAATGTTTTCTCTATGTCTGTTTATTTTCTGTTTCATGCAGACTTGATCTTTTTCAACCAGACTTTGCTGTCAAAGATCAGCATTTTATTGTTTACATTTAGAAAATTTTAAATGAAACCTGTCTCCTTTTCTTTTTTTTATCCCATTGTGTCAAGGGATCAGCGATGTAGACGTTAGCCAGTATGGTATTCCAACAGTGCAGCAAATCCTGGATCAATATACCCAAATTATGAACCTTCCTCCTATAACGAATTGGCATTTTTACATTGTGTACACTTTCTTCAGGTATGCAGCCATTTTGCAAGGTGTTTACAAGAGAGCAATATCTGGTAAGTTACCTCCCTTGGTTTGATATTTTCCCATCTATTCCAAAACTCAATTTAATATGCGAACAATTTTTGAATAAATGTGACATACAAATTATAAATAAATAAATGAAAAAAAATGCAGTCTGTTAAATATAGTAAAAAAAAATTCCTGATTTCATGTAATTCAGCTACGTATTGTAAAATATTTATATTAGAGTTCTGTGCCTTCAAGGAAATAGACCAATTCATTGTGGTGGGGGATTAACTTCTCTTGTTTGTTTGTTTCGTTTTTTTTTTTTTTTCTTGGTCTTCAGAGTGTGGAGAATTACCTCGTAGGTCCAAAAGGGCTAGAGTAGCGTAGACTATATGTGCGAACAAATTGCTAGCGATGCAGACTCTCCAAACACTGGTGCTGGAATGACGAGGCGAATGCATCAGTGTGTCAGATTGAGGCTGGCAGTGTGTCCAATATGCAAATTCTCTGGCTCGGCAAGAACGTATAAAAAAAAGTCAAGTTCTTGTTGAGTCAGCAGAAGGACTTTTGTGCGTTCATTGTAATTCACGTTGTTGCATACTAAATCAGAATTCATTGCTAGGGTGTTTCCAGTGTCTGTACTACTGAATCACATCTTTTTTGCTACAAGCTATTTCGGCACCATTACCATGGCAAAGGTGTGCATAAGCAGGGACATGATAAAGCCATTTACTGGTGAAGGAGACATAGTAGCATGGTTGAAAAAGGTGAGGCTAGTATCAAGACTTCAGCTGTTGGATGATGTCGCAAGTCTGCTGCCGTTGTATGTGGCACACGACACGCAAGCCCTCTACATGGAGATGGATGAAGATGACAAAAGGGATGCCAATAAGATAGAGGCCCGGTTGAAGGAGGTGTTTTCCAAAGGTGTGTTTACAGCCTACAGAAAGCTAAGCCTGATCAGGTGGGATGGTGAGCAGGTAGATGTCTACGCGAACAGGGTCAGGCAGTTGGCTGGGTTCGAGGGAGTAGGGCTGGAAAGGCTCACCAAACTTGCTTTTTCACCGGGTTCCATGATGCCATCTCCATCGGACTTCAACAGGTGCCAAACATTGACACCCTACTGATGACAGACATGATAGTGGAAGTATGACTACTGACGACTGCTGGGAACCAAATTCATGAGGTGGTTGCAGCCGTGTGCCCACCATGGCCCCTACCAAAAGCGGTCCCAGTACCAGTGTAACCTGCTACAAGTGCAGCAGCAGCAACGGTCACACAGCAAAGGATTGCAAAAGGCATGGAACACGTTGTTATCGATGCAGCAAGATTGGGCTCGGGCCTGTCCAGGAAACAAGCCAGAGGATGAGGCATCAGCGCCAGCCTTCTCCCCCACCAAAATATAAACAGGGCACTCCTGGAGACGAACATTTAATTTGACAGGATACAGTGTTCGGCGCTAATTGACACTGGTCGCAGACAATAGTAGATGCAGATTGGTGCTGATCCTGGAGGCAGGAAAGGTTGGACATCAGGACAATTGCAGGTATGTCCAATGGGTGTTGCGGTATCAGAATGGTCACTATATCCACGGACAAGGGCGATTCTGCCAAGGTTGATATTCTAGTGGTGCGTGGCAAACCACTAGGTTTTGACCTGCTGTTGGGGATTGATGTAATAAAAGCATTGGGAGGCGTCATTGTTGGGCCAACAGGATCAGCGCAGATTGGCAACGGGAAGATCACTATGTGCGCAGCCATTTCCATCAATGAACCTGATTTCACCGCCACCTTCAACCATCAGAGCTGAATGTGGACTGCAGCATGGAAGTGGTCAGAGAATCATGCACCAGAAGGACTGTAAAATGGAGTGTCAGAATACGTGGTAACTACAGAGATCCGAGACGACTATGAGCAGGAGCTCTACACATGGATAGATAATGGTTGGCTCGTGCCATGCCAGGAAGGAAGGCTGGGGCCTCCAAAGGGTTAATTCCTCTGATGGCTGTGCTGCAACAGAATAAAGAAAAGGTGCGTCCTGTGATAGACTACCAGGAGCTCAACCATCACATTGATGTGTTCACTGCTAATGCAGATGTCTGTACAGCTAAACTACATGAATGGCAGCAGAAAGGTTCGAACATATCTTTGTTGGACCTCAAGAGAGTGTACCTCCAAGTACATGTCCACGAGACTTTGTGGCCATTCCAGACTGTAAAGTTTGAAGGGAAGCAGTACTGCCTGACACGTTTGGGGTTTAGCCTAAATGTTGCCCCCCTTATCATGAAGGCTATTGTCAGCACAGTGATGTTGTAGGAAGAAGATATTGACTGTGCGACATCAGCTTATATTGACAACATCTATGTCAATGAAGATGTTGTTCCCACGATCCACATCAGAGAACACTTGGCTCAATTTGGACTGGAATGCAAAGATCCAGAAAGGTTGGAGAATGGTGCATGGGTGCTGGGATTGACTGTTGGGATGGAACACAATGAATTGCAGTGGAAGCGCAGAAGCATGGTCCCAGAAGTTCCTGACATTGTTACGCGATGGACAGTGTTCTCCTTGTGCAGGAGGCTTGTCAGGCACCTCCCATTGTGTGAGTGGATAATTTTCTTGGTTTCCAGAGGGTTTAAATATAAATAGTTCAATGTTTCAGTACTTTTAACTTTCATAAGCCATCATCAAATAGTTTTGAAAGCCACAATTCCTGAGACCTGGGACAATTTACATTTAACTTTCACCAGAATCCAAGAAACTTAAACTGGTATAGTATATCAGGCTATATAATGGCTCTATATAGGATACAGGTTTGATTCCTGTCAAAGGATACATATTTTCTATAAAAATTTCTCATTCAGGTCAGTAAATGTTGTTAATATTGTTTATTATAAACAGATCATTTACTTAAATATTTGTGTGTCTATAAATAACGTATAACAATAAAATATATAAAAATAATTGTCAGACTTTGTCCATTTCATGGTGTGTGACGTATATATATATATATATATATATATATATATATATATATATATATATATATATATATATATATTAAACAGCTCTGTTACTTAACACTGAGCACTGTTTTTTCTTACACTATAGTGTATTTATATGTATTTGTATTTGATCGCTCACTCATATACCTACCTATATTTACCCATTCAGTTATATATATATATATATATATATATATATATATAATATTACAATTTTAAAAAATAAGCGCTACTGAAATATAACTTCCAGTCTCCCTCCCCAGTAGGTATGGGGCCCCCCCACACAGTTAAGAGGTTCATGGTAGTAAGCACCAACCCTGTCGATTATTATAGTTGATGTCTGACATATTGTCAGACATCAACTTAGGTAAAAGAAAAGTAAGAAGTACAAAAAGCAAAAGAAAATGCTGCTGAATCTAGACCTTTTAGGGCTCCAACCTTGTTGAAGGTTCCTGCATAGTATGCACTGCACCGGCCATGCAGATACACAATGTATATTATTAGTTGATGACTGACAATGTAACGTTAGTCTTAAAAAAATGGCAAATGGCCATAAAACGGTGCTGGAAAAAAATGGCAGAGGCTATAATGGATCCTAAAAAGTACGACATTCCCCCTCCCTCCGGGTCAGAGGTAAGATCTGGAGGCCCTGATCTGTTGTTTAATTTTTTTTTTTTTATTCATGTTGATATGTGTGTACATGCACATACACACTCTTGTGTATGTGCATCTTTGTGTTGTGATGAGTGTAGGTGTGTATAGTTATATATGCATATGTATATGCTGGTTTTTATGTTGTCATAAGTATTTGAACTGTTTGTTTTGTAGGTCAAGGGACCAATCCCAAAGCAGAAGCCAGTGGCAAATATTTGACAATTCTGGCTGAAATGGGTCTTCAATTTATGAAGCAAGAGAAAAGTTCTTCAAACCTTCTCAAGTCTCAGTCCCCTATCTCAGGTACCAATCATCTGAATAGACGGTCTTTCTCTACCTCAGCTGTGAAATCAAGTGAAAATTACATTCCATGTAAGTTGAAAATTTTGTTATTGTTTAATTTTTATTATGGCAGTGAATACAGGATGATTTTTCCATCATGAACAAAGAGAAAAGTGTTAATTAATCTGTGGCTGAGGGAGATTGTGATTTATTTGATTGTTTGGTAGGTGGTTGGAGGAAATTTGTATCTAAAGTGGATTGTTATTTGGTTTACTGTATGGTTGATATGTACTTTTGTTGAGATTTAATCAGCTGCAGATTATCCGACAGCTTATCAAATAAAAAAAGTTTTTGGCAATCTTAGACCATCATTTTGGAAAAAAAAATGGAGTGTCAAATGGATATTTTTTTCCTCTGATATGTAAGAAATAAGTTCCACTCAGACAGCTTCTTCCCAAGAGCTGCTGCTTTGTGGAACAGACTCCCTGTAGGATGTTTTCCCAATCACAAGAATCCTGACCTCTTAACGTCTAAGGTTAACTGGTATCTTTCTTACTGCACTTTTCTTACACTCATACAATCCCACACAGTAATCCTCTCTCTTTGGGCCTTGTATTGGGGGAACATTAGTATTCTTTCTTTTTATGTGCCATGTCCTTTCAGGACATGGGCGATCATGGCTCTCCACCTCCCTCTATCCCTTGTAGCTCTCAACATGTTCCTTCCCTCTGCTTCCTCTCCCAGACTACGTTCTGTCATCCACTTGCTTAAGTCCGCCAGGTATGTCACACATTGTTTTCCCTTGTCTCTCTTTCCCCCTATTCGACCTGTGAGTATCAGATTCTCCAAGCCCTCCTTCCTAACATTAATATTAAAAATATTATATTCTTAATTTCCAAACATCAATTATGAGCTTGGCCACAATATTCAGGTTGTATTTGGAAATTAAGAATATGTCCAACTTTTCAGCAACTTTTCAACTCCCTCAATAACACTTATGCAACATTTATTATAGTAGTAGAACTAAACTTGAAAATGGCTAACAGATTAACTGAAAGCACTTGGAATCAACAATCTGGACAATGTTTCACTCATTAAGTCCCCCAAAATATATTTGAATAGACACTGTTTATTTATTAAATAATATACGTATTTTCATCTATCGGCCTGAATATTCAAGAAATCTTAAGGAAAAAGATGTACCCTCCAGCAGGATTTGAACCTGTGTCCCACTTTGCAAGAGAAACTGCCTTGAGATCTGATGTGCTTTAGAGCAACTCAGCCACGTGAAATCGATCAAAATTGAATGATGCCTTATAAACGCAAATCTTTCTCAGACTCTCAAAACATTCACATCTGCTCAGTTTCGTATCCTAACATAAACAAAGTAATTTTTAAAGAAAGGGGTAGATTTTTATTACTTATGTTATTTTAAGTGGATACTCATTTTTGAGTAAATATAGTGTTTATTAAATAAAGTCAATCCAACTCTCCTAGCAAGAACATAATGTAATCAAAAAGAAGAACTAATCGACATCATTGGATGCTGTAAAGTTTTCTTCCTCCTAGTTGGTTATCATAACAAAGGGTGAGGGGTTAAACACTGCTAGTAAGCTTATCATGCACCTGGACACCAAACCAGTTCTAAATCGTTGCAACTTTGTCTTAATTGTTACTGTAACTGTATAGTGACTTTATTGCCACCACACACACACACATATATATATATATATATATATATATATATATATATATATATATATATATATATATATAAAAAAAATTTATAACATAATATGTTATAAAATCACTACAAAATAGCCATTTTGTTTCAACACTCTCAGTGTCTTATCAAGTGATGATGTTGAATGTAAAATAAATGGTTTTTAAAAGTTTGAATTAATTAACAATCCTTCACAAGGGGAAAAACGTTGTTACAAAAGCTAGATGGACCAATCAAAATACAAGTATAGGAAAATTCAAAAAGCTTGACAATGAAGTCATGTTATAATAGCTATTCAAATATTTAAAATATGGGTAGTATTAAAAAAATTTATTCTAACCAATAATTACTAAATTATATGATAAAATTTAATATTAAAATTAAAAACTGCTAATTTCAAGATCAAAAATTTAATCGCTATTAAGTTTACAACTATAAAATTACTGAGGAGAAAAGAAGAAATATATATGTTATTCAATTTATTTCTTCATTGAAGTTACTTTAGCTAATTTTATATCCGGTCTTTTGACAATGTATCCATTTTAATCCTAAGAGTGTGTGAATGGGGTCCTAAACTCAAGCGTAAAACAAACGCAATCAGATTATAATATATAAGCACCCAGACATATTTAAATATATATACACACACAAAAAAAAGAGACAGAGAACATCACCATGATCGTATAAAAAAAAAAAAAGAGAAGGGGGGTAGGGAAAGAAACCAACGTACACGTACATACATACACTATTAAAAGTGAATGCACTTTCATCATAGACAATAATAAATACATGCACACACATCCACAGACATTGATCCAGACAATCAGATACAACAACCAATAAATATTTAAGACTGAAAGTGTCATGACATAAATGCTCAGCACTTACTGAAATATAACTTAAGCGAGCAAATATACAGAGATAAAAATGATTAAAAAATATTATTTAATATATTAAAATAGTGTATGTAAATATAAAATCGGCCGTCAAAGTCAACACCCACAGGTAACTTCAATGTCCACCTCACACACACACACATATATATATATACACACACACATACATACATATATATATATATATATATATATATATATATATATATATATATATATATATATATACACATACATACACACAGAAATACATACAAATAAATACATAAACATATACATATGTATATATCTCCATAATAATAAGTATACACACATATACTAGCTCATGGCTGTAATGACATACCCAAGTTTCCATACCAGATATATATAAATGACAATAGGAAAACTGTAGTTATTGCTGACGCATTTCGTCCAATGAAAAGTCCACATTGGACAAAATGACATCAACAATAACTACAGTTTCCCTATTGTCATTTATATTTATAAATATTGTCTTTTCTACAGGTTAACTCTGAGAAATTTTCATATATATATATATATATATATATATATATATATATATATATATATTCCTTTTAAAAACTAATCTTTCCTGACTCTTGAAATATACATATCCACTCAGTTCCATATCCTAACATAAACAAACCAATTCCTAAAGAAGCTATGTAATTTTATTTCCTAATTTGACAGATTTTATTATATGTTATTTTCGGTCGATACCTGAATCTATATATAATTTCTAAAGAATTAATGTATTTATTCTTAATCTGAAATGTTATCATAGTGGACACTTATTTGAAGTAGACGCTCCATGTTTATTTATTAAACAGTGTGCAATATGTTGATCAGCCATATAAGAAATCTAAGTAAATAAAATGTGTTCAGCAGAGATTGAACTTGTATTCCCCTTTGTAAAAAAGAAAATGCCATTTATGTAACAATTTATTTGAATAGATATTTTATTTATTCATTAAACAGTATATTTATTTATTTTCATCTACCACCCTAAATATTCAAGAAATCTTATTAAAGATAAATATGTGCTCTCTGGTAGGATTTGAACCTGCATACCTTTTGGCAGGAAAAACCGTCATTAGATCCAACATGCTTTAGACCATCTTAGCCACAAAGTGTATCAAGTATCAAGCAAAATTGAATAATGCCTTATAAATGCAAATCTTTTTTAGACTCTCAAAACATTCATGTCTGCTCAGTTTTATATCCTAATGTAAACAAAGTAATTTCTAAAGAAAGGGATAGATTGTTTATTTATTAATCCAACAGATTTTTATTATTTAATTGTTATTTATACTGGATACCCATATTTAAGTAGACACTCTGTTTATTTATTAAACAGCTCCTCCAGTTCTAACATTCACAGCTAAGACCCGCCATGCCACTCACATTGTAGCAAACCATCGACATTCCCTCTGTGTTCCATTAATGGGAACTAAGTTCCACTTGAACAGCTTCTTCCCATGAACCACTACACTGTGGAACCGACTCCCAAGAGGATGTTTCCCCAATCACTACAACCTGTTCACATCTAGGGTTAACTATTATCTTCCTCTCCTATCCACATAAACTGCCTCTTAATGTAACCCTCTACTTCAAGTGGCCCCTGGGTCTAGTACAGGCTGAACTTTACTATTAAAAAAACCAAAAAAAAACACTGTTCTGTAGAACCAACTCCCAAGAGGATGTTTCCCCCCAATCACTACTATCTTAACATATTCAAGTCTAGCCTTAACCATTATCTTCCTCTCTTATCCACATAGACTACTGTGACAGAGAAGAGAGTTGGGAAAAACACACACACACATATTTTTTTTATTATTGAAATTGGAATGGATCCGAGTAGCAAAATTAGATCAGAGCATTTTTGTTTACTGATGGGAAATATGATCTAGGCCATTGGAATTTGGTCATTACAAAGTCAATGGAAATGGTTGAAATAATTTTTATCAGTTAAAACTATAAATAGAACTTAGTAAGCTATGAGGAACTTTGGAATTCACATGATTTTGGTTGAAAGTAGCCAGTACCCGTAATAATTGCATGCGAAGTAGTAGGGCCAAGGGTCGATTATGATCAGCCTGGTTTATCTATATAAACGTGTAGTTATGCTGAAAAAAGTGGTTGGTTTTTGCTCGTCTGTCTTCGAGTTCGATCAAGCTGGGTGGAGAGATGTCAGAGATTGAAAGTGAGCAAAGTTGAATTGGAGGCTCGAAGAAGTACAGAAGTGATGTCAGAGATTGGAACAAAACCCCGCTAATATGTACTGTTGATATAAGTACCGCTGCTTCTGCTACCACAAAGATTATTATTACAGTTACCACTGCCGAGGAGGAACACAACTACAAACTTTAAGCCACGCACAGAAATCTTTATCTCTCCATTGCAAGAGTCGTATATCATTTTGAGATGATTTAACAAGTTAATCACAACCCACTCTCTCTCTGTCTAGAATTAAGTGCATGATTTTTTTTACATCAATTACTTTTCTTTTTTGTAACCCATTTCTTTTCCATACTATTCTTTTCTGCTATATAAAAGATATTAACAATTCAACCACTGAATAGTTTTTTGTCTAGCTTTCTGCAGATATATATTTTTTTTTTTTTTTTTTGGTGCATTCTAAATTTCTTAGCACAGACTCTCCAGTCTTCAGTTGACCGTGAATGGATGAACATCACTTCTGCTTTCTGGATCAAACCAGACACAACGTGGGCAGGAAACAGGATTAAACCAGTGGACTGGTCGAATGATCTATGGATGCTCAGGGGACCTATGGCCATTCCCTTAAGTTCGGTTAAGTCCGAGTAGACTCCTCAACCCAGAGAGTAAGACATCGGAGGTTGAGGGGCTGGGGCGAAAATGTTAGACTACCTCTTGATGTCAACTCTCTACCTCAAGTACCCCAAGACTCTGCCCTTCTATAGGGGTGAACCATGCTGTAAAAAAACAAAATAAAAAAAAAAAGTATAGATATTCATTAGAAATAACATTAAGTAATAATATATATATATATATATATATATATATATATATATATATATATATATATATATATATATATATGTGTGTGTGTATGTATATGTAATTTATTCAAAAAATTATAACATAAAATATAAAATCACTACAAAAATAGCCATTTTGTTTCAACACTTGATAAGACACCAGAAGTGTTGAAAGAAAATGGCTATTTTTGTAGTGATTTTATAACATAGTTATGTTATAATTTTTGAATAAATTATATTTTCTTACTCTGTATTAGACTCTTTTAAGAATAGTATTTTTGGTTATTGGAATTTATTCCGTGCACCAATTCTATTCCTTGGTATATATATATATATATATATATATATATATATATATATAATGTGTGTATATGTAATTTTTTTTTTTTTATTCTAGTTTCTGTGAAGAGTCTTTCACCCCGTGTGCAGGAAATGCACCAACGTGTAAAAGAATTGATTTGTCAGTCCATCATGCCTCTTGAAGGAGACTTTATAAAACACATACAATCAGACAAGCGGTGGTCTCCCTTTGAACCTTTAGAAGCTCTCAAGGTCAGATTTGATATTTGTTATGTTTTTTCCTTTTTAACTCCATGTTAAGTGCATGTTCGTTGACTATAAAATTTTACAAGTAGTTTTCTAAATTTTTCTTTCCTTCTCCAAGAAATGAATCTGAAAGTTAAAACATTAAAGGTATTGTTTTTGAACTCCTGAAATGAAATTTCGCCCATATTTAACCTCAAGCATCTCACCCCCACAAAAAAATGGTGTGTCAAAAGGAACTATTACTGTATACACTTTTGATTCCTTTGGTAATGTTTATTTACAAAATTATCAAAATACTTAAAGCAACTACAATGCAATATTTATTACCATTTTATAAAGAAATAAATGTGAAAAGAAATCTTTTTATTTAAGAATTTATAAAAGTTATAAAATTATCAAAATACTTAAACCAACTACAATGCAATATTTATTATTATGTACCATTTTATAAATAACTATTATGGGAGGTACTGTAGAATAATGGATTACATCTCAGCTTGATGAATTGGAGAGCCAAGTTTGAATTCCTGGCAAGTTCATTACATTCACTTATGTACTAATACCCTCGGGAAAAGTATGAATTCAGCTTTTCTCCCCCCAGCTATGGGTAAATAGTAGGACAGACTGGATTCTATAGCCTTGGGTGATAACCAATCTAGGAGAAGGACAACTCTGAGTGCAAACCAACATGAAATGGGTTGGGATCCATCAGGTTATCTTGCCCAAGACTCCCCACTGTTGCTACGGCTGCAGTACATGTGGTGCCCTTATGACCCTAATTGGTTATGGGACACCTGATTATTTAGCAACCAGTCTACAAGAAAGAAAATTTTGAATTCAGACCCTCCTGAAGAGGGTTGAACTCCATCAGGTTATCTTTCCCAAGGCACATCACTTCTGCTACAGCTGCAGTACATGGGTGTCCCTACGACTGTAATGAGTTATAGAATTTGTGATCATGATCAATTGTTTATGGTAATCTCAGTATCCGTCATTTGGTCCTACAGCCTTGGTTGGCAACTAGTCTAGGAGAAGGAAAACTCTGAATTCAAACTAACCTGGAGTAGAGTGGGCTCTGTCAGGCTATCTTGCCTAAAAACTACCACTACTGCTATAGCTGCAGTACATATGGTGCCCCTATGACACTAAAGATTCATAGGACTTGTGATCATGAAATAACATGTTTTTTATTCATAATTTTATAAATTTATCAATGTACAAGAAAATTTGAATAAACACATGATATTACATATTTTGATTTTTAAAACATTAAACATTACCTCAAGAGTTGTAAGCTATACAATAATAGCAGTGTCAAGGGAATAACTGTCCTTTTGACACATTGTTTTTATTTTTTGTGGGCAAAAAGTTTAAACACTGCCAATTTTTTTTTTATTTTGCACATTTTTTGAATGGTATCTTCATTACTACATTTTCACATACCATTTTGTTCAGTTTCTTTAGTTGTATTGGTATTTAGTTTAAGTCTGGCACAAGATCTTCAGTGTCGGGCACTCAGAGAGCTTTGGATTCAATATGATAGTGATGGTTTGTGAAACCATCTTGTTAATCAGTGCTCTATGGTTAGACACTTTATCCCTGGTGTGTCTATGAGGTCTCTCAAGAATATCTGGAGAATTAGTTGTGTAACCATGGCTACTAATTTGAGAGGACCTTACTGTACGTGTGTGAACAGAAATTCTCCCATGGGGTTACTCAATTGGCAGTGAGGTGCCATGAATGTGTTTCCTGTGGGACAATTGCATTCACAATGACAAAGTGTGTCAGTTCTTCTGCAGTCTAAATTTAGCACTCTGTGAGTCCTAGTGTTTCCCAAAAATGAAAATTACCATTGAAATGGCATGCACAAGATTAAAGAGAATGTGATGAGGCAGCTGATGGTAATCCCAAAAGAGGGGAAATGTTAGGATAAGTACTCAAGAGAGTACTTAGAATTAGACTAAAGTGTCATTGCCTTAGGTTGGCTTATTTTCTTTTATCATTAATATTAAATGGGTTGATAATTTCTGGATAATCCTTGTATCAACATAAGTCAGGGCCAGATTAAGACTCATAGGGATCTTAAGGATTTAAAAGATTTTTGTGTACTAAGCACTGAAAAGATTTTGGTGGCCCCTATACATCTGCACATTAACTATAATAACATGGAATCTTGTTGAGTAGTTCAAAAAAAAGGACATCAGCTGAGAACGTACATTGTAGAAACACCAGGTGGAAATAAATATAGAAGGAACCAAAGGAACATCTGACTATTGAGTGAAGCTGATCATCGGTTCTAAACTAAAACAACACCAATGACCTGGGACTCTAGCCAGAAAGAACCAATCACAGCTGAGCATCCACTTTCAAATGAGCCACAACCAGTTTTGAACAGAACTGTGACCAGTAGTGGTTGTGTAATCAACAAACCAACACATTACAGAATTAGATAAGCATTAGTGCGACAATGAATGCAACAGAGTAGCCTGGAATTTGAACTCAGCTTGCTAATTACACTTCTCCTGTTGTCAACTACCTGCACATCCTAAATGTAAAATCATTAACAATGCATTTTTTTTTTTATGATAAAGATAAAAAAAAATAAAGTTTGGTATACTGAAAATATTTTATTAGTGCCCGACTAATTGTAACTACATTATTTAATGACTAATTTTTGTCTTCCTTCAGGAAAAAGCCAAATCAGAGGGTCTGTGGAATTTATTCCTTCCTTTAGAAAGTGATGCCGAGGTGAAATATGGTTCTGGACTAACTAATGTTGAATACGCCTTTATATGTGAAGAGATGGGACGTTGTTTTTTTGCACCAGAGGTAGGTAATGGTACAATTAATAAGAACAGCTTACTTAAGAGACTATTTCATTTTCAGTGGTCAGTGTTCAAGCCTTGGGGAAAATAATCAATCTGTGAAGTGTTGATCCTGAGACAAGCCATCCCAATGAAGGCTGAGTATAATTTTCAGGAAATTTATTGTAGGAATCTGAAGAGAAATTATTTCCCTTTGCTTAAGATGCAGTCACAAGGGCTATGTAATGGCCAGTAGGTGACATCAGTTTATGGGCATGGCAAAACCTCAGTTGCTATTTAGTTAGCACACATAGAGGCAAGACGTATCTGCCCATGCTAATGATGATAGACCACTAAGGCATTAGACATCATCTCGAGTCCTCAGCAGTAGGGAGAACAAGCCCAAATATTACACGTAAGACCCTCTCACTTCTTGCCTTTTCACTCTACTTGTTGTATTCATGTTATAATTTCTCTATGTGCGATAAATTAGTAACAAGTATATATTTGTATATAATTTCTTATATGACGTAGCAATATGTAAAAATCTCTTTGAGTATAAGGCATATTTGTCATGTCATTCTTTCAGCTATTCAATTCCAACTGCGTATTAATGCCTTACTATATTATGGATATAATAATGCTTATAATAGGGAAATGTAAACAGGTTAGCACCCCCATTAATATGTTAAATGTGGTAGATTCAGACAGACCTGTTGTAACATTTATCACAAAGGATTTAATATGGGAAAGACTTTGATTTGAGATTTTACCCATCAGTGTTTTAAAGATATGACAATTGCTTAACCAGTGGGCCAGTTGTGTGTTTTTCAATTATTTGTTCAGTACCTGACACTTTGTTGATGACAAGATGATCTAATTTCAAATCTAAATTATTTGTGCATTTAAGATATTAATTAGGAAATATATTCAGTTATAAGAATGACTTCAATGTGCAACATTTTTGCACTTGGACTCTTTTTCTATTATCCAGCTTATGTCACTTCATGTATTCTTCTGTGTCCCTACACTTAGTAAAGCATAAGGCTAGTTTGACCATTATTACAGAATAGTGAATTTGATCCTAACTGTGTGCCCCCATACTAAATTTGGTAAACCTAAACTGAAATCATTTACTATACATATTCATAGTAAAATCTTTTTGAAGATATTTTTTTAATAAAATCATTGACAATGCATTTTTGTTGCAATATATTTGGCAATGCATTTTTGTAGTAAAATCATTGACAGTGCATTTTCGTAGTAAAATCATTGGAAATACAGTTTCATAGTAAAATCATTGGCAATGCAGTTTCATATTAAAATCATTGGCAATGCAGTTTCATAGTAAAATCATTGGCAATGCAGTTTCATAGTAAAATCATTGGCAATAAAGTTTCATAGTAAAATCATTGGCAATAAAGTTTCATAGTAAAATCATTGGCAATAAAGTTTCATAGTAAAATCTTTGGCAGTGCATTCTCATGAATAGATCATTGAAAATGTATTTTATAGCAAAATTATTTCCTGTTGATCAAATTCAACAAGATTGGTTGTTTTGTTTTATGGTATATCAACCTCAGTGGGTCATTTAATGCCAACAAAATTTTTTAAATAGATTCATAGCAATAGTTTGGTAAGAAAGTTGTGTATGTATACACATATATTTGAACCATTTTTCAATTACTCATATTTTTGAGTACAATCACATGTATTGCTGGTAATATTTTTTTTTCAAAAACTTATTGCTGGTAATATTTTTTTTCACAAATATATTGTTGGTAATAGTTTTTTCTTCAAAAATTAATTTCTGGTAATAATTTTTTGTAAAGTATTTCTGGTGTTAAAACTTATTTTTACACTTATAATGCTTTTTACCTCAGTTTCGGGGTTAACTATTTGCCCATAGCTGGGATCCTAACAGGTGCTACCACCCCAGGTCAGGGTGGACCTGGGACCACCAGGAATTAAGAGGTGGTTCCATGCTCCTCAAAACCTCCTGATCAGAGGCCTTGCTGCTGGACGTAGTTTATCGTCTTACCTAGGACGCGGATATAGTTTATCGTCGTACCCGAGGCACCCAACAAGCTTGACATGTAAACAATCAACAATTCAAAGAAAGCAGTCGGATCATAGGAATCTCCTGCTCATTTTGTAATTTCTCAAAACTCCAGCAATTAGTGGATCCCCACAGGATTTGGAGTTAAAAGATTTGCGTGTAGTGGATCAACACATTCCAAAATAGACAAACAGATAATCTCAAATGATGCAAGGTTTGTGTAATGCTTCTAGTATAGCAAATCTTTATTTTTTTTCTTTTTCATAAACTATAAAATCTAATTCTCTTTCTTATTGTAATTTGAAACATGACCGTTTCTCTCATCAGGTGTTCAACTGTAGTGCACCTGATACTGGAAACATGGAAGTTCTGGTGAAATATGGAAATGAGGAACAGAAGATGACTTGGCTGCAACCTTTACTTGATGGTACCATTCGCTCCTGTTTTGCCATGACAGAGCCTGAGGTAAGATGAATTTTAATGTCTATGCTTGTGTGTGTGTGTGTGTATATATATATATATATATATATATATATATATATATATATATATTTAGGTGTGCTATATTTGTGGGATAAAGTGCTCAATATCAGAGATAGTGTGTGAAAATATAAAAGTGAACATTGAAGTCAACACTTATAGGTGACAGGCTGTTTCGTGCTAGACACAATCGTCAGGCCTGACGATCATGTCTAACATGAAACAGCCTGTTGCCCTAAGTGTTGACTTCAATGTTCACTTATATATATTTTTTTTTGTATTAATTCTTGTAATGTTTTAGAAGTAATTGTAATAATTTTTTTTATGTTTAGCTTAGATAAATTCATTTCATTTGTAGTTGTGATAGAGTTGGTTGGTAGAAAACATATTTTGATTCACTGGGTTTATCAAAATGGTCAATATTTTTTGTCTTTTTTTTTTTTTTTTTTTTTTTTTTGTAATTTTAGGTTGCTTGCCCTGATACGACTAATATTCAGTCCTCCATTGTTAAGGATGGTGATCATTATATGATCAATGGCCAGAAATATAACTTCAACAAAACTACAACATGAAACATGCATATCACTGCCTCTAGTAATTATGTCCACACAAATCAAACATTTATTTTTTATAAAACATTTTTGTCCTTTTCTTTTCTTTTTTTTTTTTTTTTTTTTTTTGTAATTTTAGGTTGCTTGCTCTGATGCGACCAATATTCAGTCCTCCATTGTTAAAGATGGCGATCATTATGTGATCAATGGCCACAAATGGTGGACATCAGGTAAGCAAAAATTTAAGTCTTCCAAAATGGTTCCCTTTTAATTGTGGAGGTAGGGAGTTGGGAATTAGATCAGTGGACCATATTTCATACTTTGTGGGTTAGCTTAGTTTCCTGTTCACTTTATGTTTCATTGGTTTAACAGTTTTGCAAAGTTACTTGGACTGTGGCTGTTGTCACAGTTGAAATACATTACCCACTGCCTAACTGAGCTTCTGTCCATTATGTGATCTCTGCAAACATTCTATAGATGTCAGTGAATACCAGTGTGCAGTTCTTTCCACATGGAAGAATTCAGTGATTATACATACTTATACCATTTTGTTTATGTCTTGGGCATAAAAATAGCAGATATAGATTTCAAAAGGTCTCAATGAAATGGTTTTCTTAAATAGGACTTGCTTTGCTGTAATGGTTTCTTGTAGTTTAATGGTAAAGCACACCTGACTTGAGTGCAGTCTCCCGATTAAAAAGGGATTGTCAGTTTGATTCCTGTTGATAGATATGTTTTTTTTTTGTATTAATACCTTTGATCTCTAGGCTAGCACTGGTTAAAAAAACAGGAATATCAGCTCATATGTGTTTACCTGCTTAATATGTTTATAGTAAACAAACATATAGATATTAAATATATCAATAAAAATTTATGATAATGTTTAACTAGATTTTGGGGTAATGATGATAGTTGTCTCGTTATTTTTTTTTTTTTTTTTTGTAATTAGATATTTCACATTCAAAGTATCGTGCATAGAAGTCATGGTGGTGTGCCTTATGTTGACAATCATAAATTTGGTGATCTTAGATTTTCCTGATGTTTCTGATGATGTGTATAAATATTTGCCTCTCTTTTTTTTTTTTTTTTTTTTTTTTTTAAAATGATTGCTTCATAGGTGAAGAAATGGACCATTTTATATTTGGAATCATGCCACCTGTTGGAAAAAGATTGAATATTTTTCTGTAAAGTTAAATTTGGCAAGAGGTCAGGAACTTCACATTAGTTTGATTAGTTTTTGTTTTTTAATTTTTTAGGAGCCTTAGATACACGTTGTAAGCTTTGTATCTTCATGGGTAAAACATCACTGACTGCAGCTCGCCACAAACAACAAAGCTTAATTTTGGTTCCTATGGATACACCAGGTGTCTCTGTCATCCGTCCACTCAATGTTTATGGCTATGATGATGCACCAGGTAAGTCATCTTTTTTTTTCTTTATATGAAGCAGATATTCAGGTAGAGTGTTATAAATCCCTCTTTCTTTCTTTTTTTTCTTAGTTTTATAAGAACCAACAAAAACAAAAAAAAATATTGCCTGGAGAGTTATAGTTAGTTTTTCTTTTTCTATAACACGATTCATCACTAAAAATACTAGAAAAATGGTTGGTTCTCTGTACCGCTCTAGTAAGTACCTGACTCCTACTATCCTTTACTTTTACTTTTGTTTTTGGCTTAACCCCTACCCATACTCTCTTTATGCCAGTTTAAGCCGACATTTTTTCTCCCACATCTTATGACAGTTTTGTTTCAAGTTTTTTTTTCATGATAATTTTTAATCCGTATCACTCCATGCAAGTTTGGTTTGGTTTGTTTTATGGCATATCATTCTCGATGGGTTATTTAATGTCGACCAAATTTTATTGCTGATAATTTTTTTTTTTTATTTTTTTTTTTTAAATGTATTGCTGGTAATAATGTATTTCTGGTAATAATTTTTACAAAAACATATTTCTGATATTAAAACCTATTTTTACACTTCCATAGTGTTTTGACCCCAGTTTAACTATTTGCCCATAGCTAGGACCCTACGTGGATGTATTTTATTGTCATACCCAGGACGGCTCCATGCAAGGCAGTAAAGCCACTAAGACACAAGAGGTTACCAGGTGTGGATGAATTAAGAACAGAAACAATAATAATGGGCAGGAAGAGAAAAGAGTAATCAGGAGGACAGTAGATAACAGTGCAATTGACATTGTGTTTAAATTTTTGCAGATTAAAGTTGGTTAGAAAGCATGGAGCCAGAAGGGAGATGTGCAAGAAAAACTGTTAGCATAGAATTTATGGTTGCATCTAACCACCTCAACTCTAAACTGATGAGATCTCAATACCAGTCTATTACTGCACTTAAATTCAAAAAGTCTAGGTACCATAGAAAAGATCTCATCCAAACAATTACCATGAAATTATTTATAGAAAAAACATCAAGAAGCAACCTTACAGTGGTGGATAAGTGACTGACACCAGGCTGCCAGATCAGGACCAATAATGTTGCTGATTCTTCTTTGGATCTTATCAAGGAGCTCTAGGGAAATAGCAGGGACACTGGACCATATGTGGCAGCAATATTATAAGCATGGAAGAATGGTAAACTTCTAGAAATGTCAGATAGATTTTAAAGAGAAAAACTGTTTTGCACGACATAGTGAATCAACTTAGCAGCTGACTTGGTAAGGCAAAAAACTATGTGTAGTAATGAATAGCTACATATAGTTTTTGCCTTACTAGTTGCACCCCTGATGATGATCTCAGAAAGAGATGGAAAGTACTTGAGAAACAAAAGTGATTTTCACTGTTATAGTGCATTTCTTGCCTTATTTAATTGTAATATACAGAAAAATATTTGTGAATATGAAAGGATTATGATAAAAATAAGCAAACATGTTTTTTAATTTATTCAATCAAACTATATATATATATATATATATATATATATATATATATATATATATAAAAAATAACAGCTAGAATAGATTACCCACAATGCACCACTGACCCATATATATAAATAGCCAAGGAAAAATCCAGCTTTCACAGCCTGATGATTGCATCCAGCATGAAACAGCCTGTCGCCTCTGAGTGTTGACTTCAATGTTCACTTTTATATTTATATTTACAGATGCTCTATTTCTGATATTGAGAAATTTATCCCATAAATATAGCACACCTTAAAACTATATATATATATATATATATCTTCAAATAGAGTATTTATGTTTTGTCATACAAGTTTCAGTGATCAATTGTTTTTTTTTTCTTGCTAGTTGGCCATGGGGAGTTGACATTCAAAGATGTGAGAGTCCCTGCATCTAATCTCCTGCTTTCTGAAGGGCAAGGGTTTGAAATTGTCCAGGGTCGACTGGGGCCCGGTCGAATTCATCACTGCATGCGTCTCATCGGCATGTCTGAGCGTGCTCTTGAGTTGATGATTCAGAGGGTGAGTCCGTTTTGGAACATTTTTATAACCTTGTGCTGTGCAATGACTACTTCCAGAGCTAAAAAGCCAGAGAAATGAGCAAAAAATGAAAATAGAAGGAAAAAGGCTTCTCGTGGTTGTGGCTTCTTATAAGTGTGGATCAGTGAATCTGCTGCCCAACTTGTATTTATCTTTTATTTATATGATTAATATTTCTTTTAATAATTTCACTCCAAACAAGGTAATAAAGCCACTAAGATGCAAGGAGTTACTGAGGATGAAAGACAACAGAAGAATCCAAGAAAACATTACCGAAGAAAAAGTACAATAAAAAGAACAGTATTCAAGGGAACAGAACATTACAATTAATGTTGCAATATGTTTTTGAAGATTGTAGTTGATAGGAAAGCAGAAAACTTGAAGAGAGTTCCACAGGCAAGAAGTGCAGAGAAGAAACAATTCAAATAGAACTTATGCTTACATTCATCAATTTTAAATAAAATACAAATAATGATAACACCTCATCTCAGAAATTCAGACAGAAATTAAATTTGTTCTCTCATGAGAACAAATTTATGTCATTATTTACACTATTTACCTTCAGACTATTGTCCTCATCTGTTGTTGTTATCACAATGTTTTGACCATTGTGCCTTCTGGGCTTCATCAGCTGTATGTCGATCTGGGTAACATACAGGGAATTCTGAACTATTTATTTAATTTACAGGGATAGTCTGTTATCATTCCACTGCCCATGTCTAGACTATTGTCATCTTTGTTGTTGTTGTTTTCACAATGTTTTGGTCATTGTGCCCTCAGGCCTGAATCAGCTGTATATTGATTCAGGTAACCTATGGGGGAATTCTGAACTGAACTATTTATTTAATCTACAGGCAGTAGACTTTTCCCGTTACATCCATCTAGGGATATCTTGTCTAGTTCTTATTTTTAGTGCTGCTCAGTTATTACTCACCTTTTTCTACTGAGTACTAAAATAAGAAATAGACAATATCCCTAGACATGGGCAGTAGAACAGGAACAGTCTATATCTGTAGATTAAATGAAAGGTTCAGTTTGGAATTCCCTGTAGGTTACCCGGATCAATATACACCTGATGAAGGCCACAGGGTGCAGTAACCCGAAACCCTGTGAAAACAATAACACTTAAAAAAAAAGTAACCCTGAATTCATAATTTATTTTATTTTTTAATTCTGTTTTTCTTTTTTAAAAAAAAATACATATTCACAGGTGAAAAGTCGCACTGCATTCCAGAAACTTCTTGCTGAGCAAGGAACAATTCAGGCAGACATTGCGATGTCCAGGTTGGAAATAGAACAGGCTCGACTTTTGGTACTGAAAGCTGCCCATATGATGGATACTGTTGGAAATAAGGTAATACTGAATTTATTCTTAGTGATTTCGTTAGCAGAACAGAGCTTAATTATGGTAAAGAAATATGGAGTTAAAAAGCAAGAGAAAGGTAAACATCAAAATTAAAAAAAAAAAAATTTTTCAGAATTAACCAATTTTGTGCCTCTCTTATAAAAAATTTGATTGAGGATAATAAGTAATGGCTAGCCACTCATATACGCCTTCCTGCTAGGGCAGCTAGCTAATCCTTATTGCAGACGCCTGCTCAGGCACATTTGTGTTTGTTCAACACCTACAGAGCCCACCCGTGGTTTAAACTGCAACTATGCTAAACGGACCTTTCAATTACAGTTTCTGGGAGAGAGCGCATAATCTGGCGTGATCAGCAGTCTGAACAAGGCCAGTAAAAATATATGAAACATCATAACAAAAATTTTTGCTTTTGCTTTTTTTTTATCATTATTATTATTTTTTAGATGCTGGCATAGTTTGTTTTAGAAAGAGGGATTGTTTGGGGATGGCTACAGACAAGGAGGTGCTGAAAAGTTCTCTGATTAACCCACTTCCCAAAAAAGAATCCAAGAACTTTTTAGAACCCCTTGTCTGTGTCTGCATACACACATACACACACACACACACACACACATGGATGCGTTTAGCCTAAGATAGGGGCAAACAAAAATTGACTTGGTGGTCTTCTTAAAAATTGAGGGCTCCGCAGCAATGAATAAGGTCCCTATAACATTTTTTTTTTTTTTTGAATTTGCAAAATTTATGTTTTTTATATGTAAAAAGTAATATTAATGTAAAATCTTTAAAAAATTGATAAAAATAAGCAAAAAAAAGCTTTAAAATCAAATATTTTTATTGAAAAATACCATAGATTATGATAACTAGAATTATTAACAATGATACATTGCAGTAGAACATTTTCAAAAAAGAAATCAAACCATACAACATTATTAGCTTAAAAATATGTTGTGAAAAGGACAAGATTGTTGTATTAATGTATCAAAATAAAAAACTTTTTCAGCATAAAATCAATATAACTATTGAAACAAAAAATTATGTACAATAAATGTCAAAACGATCCTTTACTTTCCGACACGAAAATTAATTAGTAATTTCTTGATAAATTTTGTTGCTCCACATTCAAATCTTCCTCTACTAAAGCAATTTGTAAGAATCGAAAAACAATTTTCTATTATTTTAGATAGGGGGGACCTGTTTACAATATAAATATGTCAAACTGATCCCTAAATTTTTGACATACCTTTAGTTTTCTTTCCTTTTTGAGGTGAACAGTCTATTGTATTGCTGTTTTAAAATTAAATGTATTATTACTATATAATGTGTCTGTATACATATGATATTCATTTCATTTCCGGTAGACATAACTTAGGTACCTCCACGAGATCACTAAAAAAAGAGTGTAGCATGATGAAAAAGACGCCAAACAAAATTTTATCTTCTAAATGTTTGTTATTATTAAGAGGAAAGATCAAAGTATTTTTGGGGTATTTTTTTCCATTTTTTAATCATTCCTAGCACATCCGAAATTTTCGTTAAAAATCTTGTTTTTTTTTTTTTTTTTTTTTTGAGTCAGCAAAATTGACCTTTTTTTTTCCATTTTATAAAAAGACTGGAAATCTCACTTTGAAATTCTTTTAAATATCAATTATCATTTTTTCAAAACTTATTTTAAGAAAATCAGAAATTATAATGTTTATTTAAAATATTTTGAACCAAGCTTAACTTAGCTTTTGCGCCGAAAAGATGTAATTTGAAAATAAAACAAAGCAGATCATAAACTTTCGTGTCACTCGACAGGTGATGAATGACATATTAACAGATTCCATGAGGCTAATTTGTTCTACAGAAGAAGAAAAGTGAAATAATTTACATTTAAGTGAACAAATTATTTACCTCATTATTTTTAAGGAAAACTTTCAGCGCTCTAATTTTTTTTTTTTTTTTGTACTTAGCTTTCACCTTTACGTTTACAATGCTTTATGGAAAATATATTCTAAAGAAATTAAAATAGGACTATTAAGAGTGAGATTATATTTCATAAGAAAGGTATCTAATTAATTTATAGGTACCTTTCTTATGAAATTTTATCAGAAGTGTACATAAAATACTATAATTTTATGTATATTTATTACATTTTATTGTGTTATTTGTATTTCCAATCATTTTATTATTAATTTTGATATTTCATTTATGGAAAAATGTCATAACTGAGATTAATATAAAAATAAGATCATATAAATTTCATAATATGATACTGATACTTGTAGGTACCCTTCTCAGTTGAAATTGAAAAATCAAATTAACTTCTCCACACGTGTTTCGCAAAACCTTTTATTTGAAGTACTGTAGAATGTTAACATCTTGATTAGGTCATTATCGTCTCTTTGAGGTACATGTGTTATTCATTTTAGTTGTTGCCACAGTTCTTTGTTTGCAGTTCTGTCACACCACCACCAGTCCATGAGGTTTAAAGAAAGATGGTTTTTGCTAAAGATCTTCAAGCTTTACTCACTCAAAACCATTATTAACCATTGATCTTAGAAAATGGTTGTATACAGCTGACAGGTTAGATATTTCTGAACAAGTTTGGTGCTATGCATGACATTGATATGAAAGTCTCAATCTGATGAGAACACAATTCAGCATTTCAGAAGGAGAATCATTGCCAAGACCCTCAGGCTTTACTTGCTCAAAGCTTTTTCTCACCATTGATCTTAGGAAGTTGTATACAGTTGATAGTTTAGATCTGAAAAAGGAATGAGACTTTGATACATGTGGTATAGGCAACCTTCCATTTATGTCCTGCTAAAGGTATGTTCTCAAATACCTGATGCGACCTGTACATGCTTGCACTCACCCATATGCTCTCTCTCTCTCTCTCTTACTCATGCATTCTCTCTTGCACTCTCTGTCTACAAGTTTCCATCCTGGGTATAGGGATAAACTACATCTGCATCCAGGGTAAGACGATAAACTACATCCAACAGCAAGGCCTCTGATCAGGAGGCTTTGAGGATCGTGGAACCACCTCTTAATTGCTGGTGTTCCCAGGTCCACTCTGACCCAGGGTGGTAGCACCTGTTAGGGTCCCAGCTATGGGCAAATAGTTAACCCCAAAACTGAAGTAAAATGCACTTTGAAAGTGTAGAAATAAGTTTTAATACAAGAAATACTTTGTAAAAAATTATTACCAGAAATAGATTTTTGACAAAACAAAAATATTACCAGGAAAAAAGTTGTCGGCATTAAATGACCGATTGAGGTTGTTATGTCGCAACCAAACCAAACTGTATACAAGTTTATGTGATTGGTGGCTAGTATCACAAAATATGGTGGTACTTTTTCCTTTCTTGTGTCAAAATGAAAGATGCCATGTCAATGCACTCAATACACTGGATAGACAGATGAGAATGTTGAAATTTGGTTCATCTTGGATTGTATTATGGTATTATTTCTCCATTTATGTCCCACTGAAGATGTGTTCTCAAATACCTGGTGTACACTGTATGTCTATATATCTCTATTTCTCTTGTCTCACTTTTCATTCTTTCTCTCTTTTTCTTTCTCATCTTTGGACTGGTTGTTGTTTATCATTCAGTTGTTGCTTTACCACCATACAGGTTGGCACTCAATAGTTTTCCAGACATCAATGGACTCTGTCATCAATTAACCTCATATTATGCACAGAAATTTCTCAGCCTGGTCTATTTCCAAAATTCTGATCTTATATCTGTCCTCCTATATAGCAGTGAATGACAATCTCCCCACAGATAAAGAAGAAGAGACTTGAAGCAACAGAAATGTGGTTCTACAGATGGATGCTGAGAATACCATGGACTGAACATTTGAGCATCAACAAAGTTAGAGAAAATAGAAACAAAAAGGAAATTTATACTTAATATCAGAAATACTCACAGGACAGTTGGAAGTCCAGATGGACAGAGGAAAGCAACACATAACCTACTTAGTGAGCTTGAGTAAATGGATGACAGAATAGGGTAGAGGAGAGACAAAAAGACAAAACTGATTAAGAGCTACAAAGGACAGAAATAAATTATTAATACAAAGTGTTTAAATTAACAACATGGTTATTAATAAAATGTTTCATAACATTTAAATGTATACCCTTGAAAAATTTTGCTAAGCATGCCATGATATTTTCATTTGCTCCGAGATGTGCCGTTGCTTAAAAGGTTGAGAAACACTAATGCATGTTAAACTATAAAATTTATTCTCCAAAAATTTGTTATATATTTATTATGAGCAGATAAATTAATCTAAGTATTGCTTTCAAAGTCATGAAATTTTTTTCTCAACCAATTTATCTTTCTTTAATAAATACAGGCAGCTGCAGCTGAAATAGCCATGATTAAAGTTGTTGCCCCAAACATGGCCTTACGTGTGATCGACCGGGCTATTCAGGTAAGTGTTTCAGTTTTCCTCAAAATTTCAATAAGTTTCAACTATTTTTATTATAAATTTTGCCTAGTATTTATTTTCATCTAAAATATTTAGTTGCATTTTATTGCAACTTTTACTCAGGCTGGAAATCTATGGAAGGAGATTTGTAGAATATATTAGAAATGCAGCTGAGGACAAATTTATATTTCATTCTGGACATTTGTTTTTAGACTCATATAATTAATTGCAACAGTATTATTTTTCTTTTTATTAAATGAAGCATTGTCAGCCATTATTATTAATTTTGGACTAGTATTTACTTTCATGTTCATTTTTGATTAGATGAAGCATTGTCACACATTATTATTAATTTCTGATGAATATTTACTTTCATCTTTATGGACAAGTGAAAAAGATGTGCAGAGGGAAAACAAAAAATCACAAGTTTATGTATGGCAGATTAGGGATTGGGAAGAATGGTAAGGAGACAAACACTGCTTAGAGTTACAAAGAACAAGAGACTGTGGAGAGCCATGATCACTCATATCCTGAAGGAAAACAGGACATAAGAAGAAACTAGTGAACATGATTCATTGATTAACTATTACTCACTAAGTCTATGTTGTATATGCAAATGACCTGAAGGCAGAACCTAGTCTCATCACACCCCAGATGACTCCTTCACAAAACTACTGGGGTCATTTTAGTTATATTTGTTTATTAATAATCCAACAGCTATTAAGCCAAAACAAGCAAAAAAGGGTCTAATATATAACAAAGAACATCTGCAATATGCAGAACACAGGAACAATCAAAACATTACGTACATACATGGATATGTTTATTTTTGTTGAAGCAGGACCAGGTTTAATCTTGCACAAAGCAAGGTGAGTCATGCCTGACAAAGGATTTGTCATAATGATTTGAGGTAAGGTTTTACAAGGCTAGATGCTCTCGCTGATGCCCAACTCTGACGCTCATGGTAGTTCAAGAACACAGTGTTTTTATTGAGACACCATCTCTAGGAAGGTTGTCATTCAAGACTGTCATCCTAATCATATATATATATATATATATATATATACATACACACACACGCACACACTACTTTTTCAATTACTCTAAGAGCTGTTTTTCTTTTTTTTTCTCCAATAGGATTAAATAACAGGGCAAACTGGACTGTCTATGATTGGTACTTCTAGGAAAAGGAAAACTTTGAATTCAAAACTGGTAGGGGTTTAGGGCTAGTCACTCAACCCTTAAAATCCACTTGTTACTAAATCCACAGCCGCACAACCTGTGGTAAGACTGTGGCACTATATACCTCAGAGAATCTTCAGGTTCAACTGACAGATGACTGTATGGTGGCTTTCAACTAAGATATTTTATCTGTCTACATTTCTGAGATGCATCCTGTGTATAACGATAAACTACATCCAGCAGCAAGGCCTCTGATTGGTAGGTTTTCCTGGGCATGGAACCACCTCTTAATTGCTGCTGTTCCCAGGTCCACCCTGACCTGGGGTGATAGCACTTGTTAGGGTCCCAGCTATGTGCAAATAGTTAACTCTCAAGCTAGGGTCAAAACACCATGAAAGTATAAAAATAGATTTTTATAGTAAAAAATAAATAAAAATTACCAGCATCACATTTTTGAAAAAAAAAAAAATATTTATGCATATTGTATTCATACAAATCCATCTTAAATCTGGTCAGCATTAAATAACTCATTGAGGTTGATATGCCACTAAACAAAATAAACCAAACCATATTCCTGCAATGAGCTATTGTAATTATTTACACTATTTACATTGTTTGGACTGTTGTCCTCATCCTTGTTGTCATATTCACAAAGTTTCAGCCATTGTACACTCCAACCTTCTTCAGGTGATTGGAATTTCAACTGAACCCTTTATTTTCATCCACCAAGGTAGATTGTTCAACTGAAGAAACTTCTTGAATATAGCAATGAAGATGAGAGCAACAGTCTGAACAATGTCAATAGTATAGATAAAATATTTATTTCTTCATAAAGATTAATTCCATTCATTTTTTTTCAATTTTCTATTTTAAAGAAATGTTGTTTTGTTTTTCAGGCCTATGGTGGAGCCGGTCTTCATTCTGATTTGCCACTGGCAAACATGTTTGCCTGGGCACGGGTTCTGCGACTGGCTGATGGCCCCGATGAAGTGCATCGGCAATCAATTGCAAAGGCAGAATTTAGGAAATACAAATAGTCAGCAAACCAAGGCAATCCCGCTCCTCCATCCCAGTTGAAAGTTTCTGATAAATCTGCTTGTTGTAGCTTTGCAGGTGCAACATGGAAATGCCTAATTTCTCAGAAGTGATTATTTTCCTTTTTAGCAAATTTAGTAGCTGAAAAAATAACATCAAATACGCGATAATTTGGTCTCTGAATTCTTTTGTTTAATACTGTAAGATGCTACAAAGCAAAAATATTAACCTAAAAACTTAAGTCATATTCTTCTATAGTCTCATCAGGTCTAGACTCTCTTATGGACATCATGTATAGCATCCAACTCCTTCAGAAATGACTAAGTTGCCATATATATCCAACTGTTTTTTTCATATCAATAGTTAAAAATAACTTCATTGTGAATTAATCCTTCATCAGATCTTATAGTCTGATGCTACACAGTCAAAAAGAACTGTACCAAATAACAAAAACCACATCACTTGAAGATTTTCAACAGCAGCAACAATTAAAATGGGTAGCATATCTAACTCAAAGGGAAAATAATGATATAACCATGGTGATAACATTCCACACTACCAAAAGATTAAGATGGAAACTCCCATCAGTATTAGAAAGAGTGATAAGTTAATGGACTTGAGAAACTCCTAAAAAACTGTTTTAAGAGAAAGATTTTCTAAATTTCAACCAACATTAATGCAAACCGTTTGGTCAATGTTAAATGTAAGTAAGACTTATGATAAATGTTTCTGAATTCCTTTTAGGAACTGGACTTGAAATGAAAGCAATGAGGACACATATCGTGAATCCATTAGAAGAATTCAGAATGTAGAATTAGTAAATACTAAGCATTATAGGAACTTTAGTATAGGAGATAAGTAACTTGCACATAGGATAGGCAGTGCTAGTAGTAGTTTTGCCTAACACTGTAAAGTGTTACAAAACATTAGCTTAAAAACAGTCAGATGTAGACTTTTCATATGGATATTATGCATGGTGAGAAACATGTTCAGAAATAGCTAACCTGCATAAAACCACTTTCTTAGATCATTGATTAAAAATGGCTATGAGTGAATGAAGCCGGTAGGTCCTAGCATAGAGCACCCTTCTTCAAAAACTGCAGATGGGCAAAATAAAGAAAGAACATAGCAGATAACAGAAATTGCATCAATTGGGCACTTCCAGCAGCTGCAACAATTAAAATGGGTTGTACATGTAACTCAAAGAGAGAATGATATAATGAAAATGCTGACATTCCACACTACCCCAAGCATAAAGCAAGAAAACTACTATCAATACTGGAAAGAGTGATAACAGTAGACTTGAAAAACCTATTTCAAAACAAAACTGGAATTAGAATGAATTCAGTCATGGAACATAATTTGAATCTATCATAAAAATTCATAATGGAATTAGTAAATACTAAATATTTTAAATATATTGGTTTGTGGATCAGTTACAACAAATTTAGTTTAGGAAATTGAGCATGGAGAGAGATTGCACTAAGAGTTCTTTTATCCAGCACTATATGGTACTAAAAAACCAAAATTACGACCAGAAAACTCAAGTCATATTCTTGTCAGATCTACACTCATATGGATACTATTTACATTATTTGGACTATCATCCTCATCTTTGTTGCCATATTTATCACAACGTTTCAGCTGTTGTACACTCTGGCCTTCTTCAGGTGGTTGGAATGTCAGAAGAAGGCCGTAGTGTACAACGATCGAAACATTGTGATAAATATGGCAACAAACATGAGGACAATAATAATGTACATAATACCTCATCTCAGAAATATAGATAGATACTCATATGCATGTTATGCATGATGTCCAACTCCTTCAGTAATGTCCAAACTATCATCTATATACAACTGTTTTCTCTGATCCATGATGATAATGGCTTAATAATGGCTTCATGAAAATGAATCCTCTTGGAAGACAATCTTTCATCTGATCTTGAAACCCCCATGCCACCTGAAGACTTTCAACAGCAACAACAACTCGAATGGATAACACATGTAATTAGAAGGGAAAATAATGAATAAGATGTTGAATTTCCAAACTGCCAAAAACTAAAAGACTAGGAAGGAAACTCCTTTCAGCACAGAAAAGAACAATAAGTCAGTGGACTTGATAAGAAAAACCAAAAGATTTTCTCAATTTCAAACAACAGTAATGCAAATTGCTTGGCCAATGATTACAAAATGCTTTCTTATAAGGAAACAGCTGATCTTATTAGATTTTGACAAATCCATTTATACATTTGACAAAAAATAAAACAAAGAAAAGTACCAGTATTCATTTTCTTTTTCTTTTTTTTTCTGTCATGCATGGCATCCAACTTCTTCAGTAATTTCTAAACTATCACCTATATACAATATACAACTCTTTTCTCAGGTGCATGATTAAAATTGGCTTTTTGCAAATGAATCCTTTAGATCTTAGAGGACAAACCTCCATTAGGCCCTATAGATTGTTACAACCAAATCACAAAAATAATTACCAAATAAAAAAAATCACATCACTTGAAGACTTCCAACAGCAGCAACAACTAAAATGGATAGCACAATGTAATTACAAGGGAAAACAATGATATAATCAAGATGTTGATGTTCCACACTAACTTAAACAAAAAGTCAGGAAGGAAACTCCCATCTGTACTAGAAAGAGTGATAATAGTAGACTTGAGGAACTTATTTTCCTGAAAAACTGTTTTAAGAGAAAGATATAAATTTCAGCTAGAGTAATGCTAACTGTTCAGTCGATGAAGGCTGAATGTTTCCTTATAAGGAAATGGATAATTTTGCCATTACCATAAGGTTACTATGTGACACTGATCAGTTCAGGGTCAGATGTGACACTGAGTTGTCAGCTCGTGGTCAACTCCAAATCACAGCACAAAACTGTGATATTTCTTCTACCAGCAATTTGGGGTCGACTCTTAGTTGCTGTCACCAACCTTTGTCCTGGTCGATCGGTGGTCGTCACTACCTGGTGGAATCCTTTGGTCAGGGTACCAAGTGGGATGGTCAGTCGATTTCAAACAGCTTCACACCAGATGCAACCAGTTCAACACCAGTTCCGTCATTCTCAGCTCACTTCCAATGTCTGGTTACCAAAGCAACTACTTCGATCTCAAGTTTAACCTACCCACATTGTGATTTTGTCCTTAGGTAGACAAGATCGATCAGCTATCAGGCCGTAGTGTAAGATGAGTCTAAACTGGAGGCGATATTGCACAAGCGTAAAGAAAAGAAGCAAATAAAAACCCAAGAGGTTCAAATATGTTAAAAGAAACAAATTAACTTTTATCTGTCTGTTATATACAGGAGTGTAAGTTTTTCTCCCAATCCGTTTTTGTTTTTTTTTTCAGAAAGTGACACTTTTATGCTTCTTAGGCAAGTTCTGGTCTTCTAAGTCAACTGGTTTAGTTTTTAAGTGCTGGCTTAGCTTCATTTGTCAGTAAACTTGCTGTTGGTAGAATAGGCGAAGTCGGAGGTTGTGGAATCTCTTGGTCAGCTTCTGTGAGGCAACACTCAGGTTCCTGCTACTCGAACTGCTCCAACTTCAACTGCCCGAGGGTGCTCGCTTATCTGGACACTGGCCAAAACCCGGTGTGGGGTTAGAAACAGCCTGGGGGTTTCAGTAATTCTCGATTTCTGACAATAAACCTCTTTGTTGTCTGGCTAGGAAAATTGATTACTTCCCATCTTGGAAAATTAATCACTTTACATTTTTGGGGGGATCCCTTTGTCTGTGAGGAGAGGTTGCAGGATAGCTATCCTCCTAAATTCCTCCTTCTCACATTGGTACCTCATACCAAATCCCTTCAGTGGGTGTTAACAATTTCCCCATTTTTCTCATCAAATTACCTCCGCCTATCACCATTGCTACCACTCAACCAATGGCATCCCAGCCGTGCGGGTGTGGCTAAGCTGGCCTCATTAATTATAAACTATAATTTTTTGTTTACAAAATTCTCGTTCTCACCGGCCAAAATTCTTATGAAAAAACACATAGCCCTGTCTCTTAAAATCTCTGATATCTTTTAACACTCTTAGTTATTTTACGTCTTCTCAACCCGTGCTTTTACAAACAACATCAATCATTTGTCAGGGTTTGCGGGAGCCCTTTGCTTCTTGGTAAAGAAAAATAAATCTCTTCATCTTCAAATCGGCAATTCTTTTGAGATATTTTCTCATGCCAAAATTTTTATAATTAACATATGGCCTTGCCTTGCTGGCACTTAAAATGATATCTTGGAAAAATAAACAAGGGTAATTCTCTCTACCCCATATTGACAAATACTTCGAAATATTTTCTCATGCCAAAATTTTTAGAATTAACATGTTGCCTTGCCAGTACTTATGATGATATCTTGTTTTCATTTTTTTTTTTTAACCAGTACTTTTACAAACATCATTAATCAATTGTCAAAAGCTCGCATATGGCCTTTTTCGTGAGTCCACTGTTTATCCCAATTTTTGGGTTTTTGAAAAAAGTAACTTTTTTTTTTTTTAAAAAGTAAAAATAAAATTTCTGGTTATCTTCTTTTCCATTTTCAGTATTTTCTTGTTTAATTTTTATTGTTAATTAGTTAATCAATTTTCATAGCTAAATAGTGTCACAACTAGATTTTGACAAATCCTTTTTATGATTATGCTGGGTTGAACATTAGATGCCTATATTTACAGGGTGGGTTTGAGTACGTTGAATGCTAAAAGTTTAATCATATAACGCCAAGTAAGGCAATAAAAGCCACTAGGATGCAGGGGTGTTGCTGAAAGTGAAAAAAAGAGAAAGAGCAATAAAAAAATAACATTCAAGGAGATAGAAAATGACAATTGACATTGCATTTAATGTTTTGAAGATCTTAGCTAATAAAAAAGCAGGAAGAGTTTCACATGGGAAGTGCAAGAGAAGATATTATTATAGAACTTATGGCTACAATGAGCAATTACAGCAGTTTAATTATGAGGCCTAGCTGCCAATCTAATATTGCACTTGAATTCTT